AACCGAACAAGGACAACACAAAAAGGAAAACTACAGGCCAATCTCCCTAATGAACACTGATGCAAAAATCCTCAATAAAATTTTAGCCATCAGAATCCAACAATGTATCCATAAGATAATTCACCACGACCAAGTAGGATTCATTCCAGGGGCACAAGGATGGTTTAACATCCGAAAATCAATCAACGTTATCCAACACATCAACAAAAAGAAATATAAAAACCATATGATAATATCAATAGATGCTGAGAAAGCTTTCGACAAAGTGCAACACCCATTCATGATAAAAGCCCTTGAAATTCTTGGGATACAAGGAACATACCTCAACATCATAAAGGCCATCTATGACAAGCCAACAGCCAGTATCATTCTCAATGGTGAAAAGCTGAAAGCAATTCCATTAAGATCTGGAACAAGACAAGGATGTCCACTCTCACCACTGCTTTTCAATATAATACTGGAAGTCCTAGCCAGGGCAATAAGACAAGAGAAAGACATCCAAGGAATCCAAATAGGAAAAGAAGAAGTCAAACTATCACTATTTGCAGACGATATGATATTATACATAGAGAACCCCAAAAACTCCACAGAAAAGCTAATTCAACTCATCAATCAGTTCAGTAAAGTGGCAGGATACAAAATCAACACGCAAAAGTCAGTAGCCTTCCTATACACAAACAATAAATCTGAAGAAGAAGAAATCAAAAAACCATCCCTTTTGTTATTGAAACAAAAAAATCAAATATTTGGGAATCAATCTAACAAAAGAGGTAAAGGACCTATACAAAGAAAACTATAAAACACTGTTAAAAGAAATAGAAGAAGACACAAAGAAATGGAGAGACATCCCCTGCTCGTGGATTGGAAGAATAAACATTATTAAAATGGCCATCCTTCCAAAAGCAATATACAGATTCAACGCTATTCCAATCAAAATTTCAATGTCATTCTTCAAAGAAATAGAACAATTATTGATGAAATTCATATGGAATCACAAAAACCCCGAATAGCCAAAGCTCTCCTGAAAAAAAAAAGAAGGAATGGAGGCATTACACTCCCAGACTTCAAACTCTACTACAAAGCCATAATCATCAAAACTGCATGGTATTGGAACAAGAACAGACATACAGACCAATGGAATCGAATAGAAATCCAGAAATAAACCCACAGATTTATGGTCAACTAATCTTTGACAAAGGAGCAAAGACTATGCATTGGAGCAAAGAAAGTTTGTTCAATAAATGGTGCTGGGAAAACTGGGTCGCTACATGCAAAGAATGAAGCTTGACCACTACCTCACACCATACACAAAAATCAACTCAAAATGGATTAAAGAACTAGACATAAGACCTGAAACCATAAAATATATAGAAGGAAATATAGGCGAAACACTACGTGATTTGCACATCAAAGACATCTTTACAAACACATCACCCAAAGCAGTGATAGTGAAGGCAAAGATAAACAGCTGGGACTACATCAAATTAAAGAGCTTCTGCACAGCAAAAGAGACATAACAAAAACAAAGAGAAACCCCACCAACTGGGAGAACATTTTTGCACCCAACACTAATGATAAAGGACTGATCACAAAAATCTGCAAAGAGCTGATGAGACTCAACAACAACAAAGAAAATAATCCAGTCAAAAAATGGGCAGAAGAGCTAAAAAGAAACTTCTCTCAAGAGGAAATGCAAATGGCCAACAGGCATATGAAAAAATGTTCAACATCACTTGCCATCAGGGAAATGCAAATCAAAACTACCATGAGATACCATCTTACACCAGTGAGAATGGCACATATTAAAAAAACTAGCAACAACAAATGCTGGCGAGGGTGTGGAGAAAAAGGAACTCTTCTACACTGTTGGTGGGAGTGCAAACTGGTCCAACCACTGTGGAAAGCTGTGTGGAGATTTCTGGACCTACTAAACATAGAGCTTCCATATGATCCAGCAATTCCACTCCTAGGTATTTACCCAAAGGACACAGAAACATCAATTCCAAAGAACACCTGCACCCCTATGTTTATAGCAGCACTGTTTACAATAGCTAAGCTTTGGAAACAACCCAAATGCCCAAAAATAGATGACTGGATCAAGAAGATGTGGTCCATATATACCATGGAATATTACTCAGCATTCAAAAAAGATAAACACATGCAATTTGCAGCAACATGGATGTCGCTGGAAGGGATCATGCTCAGCGAAATAAGCCAAAAAGAAAAAGAAAAATACCGGATGGTCTCACTCATAGCAGGAATCTAGAAAACTTAAATAAGGGACCAGGAAACGAATAACTATAAGAAAGTGAAAATCAAAATCAACAAAAAACTATGAACCAGAGACACTTTTAGGGGGTGGGGGCGGGAGGGGAGGGATTGGGGTCAGAATGGGGGGGCTGCAATTGTATGGGGAATACAACAATAAAATTTATTATTAAAAAAAAAAAAAAAAAAAAAAAAAAATAAAATGCTTACTGATAGGGCACCATTTTCTGAAAAGTAAGCATACTTCTCAAGGTACACTATCCAATATGATCGTCACTGGCCACACATGGCTATTGGATGTTTGAAAAATAGGTTTTCTAAGTGTGAATTGCATACCAGATTTCAAAGACTTAGTATGAAAAAATGATAAAAAAAATCTCATGAGTAATTTTTATATTGATTATGTTAAAATGAGACTTTTAAATATATTAGATCAAGTAAACCATATTATTAAAATTATCTTTACCTGCTTCTTTCTGCTTTTTTCTTCACTATAACTGCTAGAAACTTACACCTTCGCACGTGATTCACACTATACATTTTTTTTTTTGATAGAGCTAGTCTAGAACACAGATATCATTATAGCAGTTACTGTGTCTGTCCTTCCCTGCTCTATCCCTGCACACAGCACAGGTCTTGGGAATAATAGATTCTTGGCACCAGAAGAAAGGCAGGCTGTGGCATCCAGATAAGGTAGTAACCTTACAGGCCTTGGGCTACACGGCCATCATCCTAACCCTTGCTCTAAAAAGTCAAAATAAGGGTGGTGGGAATTGTATGGGGAATATAACCAAGATGAAAATGCATACATTGTACAAAAATGAAAAATGATTTTAAAAATATATAAAATAAAATTAAAAATAATAAAATTTAAAAAATAGGGCCTCCAGTGGCACAGCGGGTTGAGTGCAGCACTGTGAAACTATTCGCAGCCTCTACACCACCAGTTCGATTTCCGGCTGGCCAGGGAGATTCCCACATGGCAAGGCAGACCTCTCCTGTCTCGCCCGCTACTCCCTTTAGCAATGTATTCCGTCCATCTGCCTGTTCTGCTCCCTTGTCTGTCTCTGGTGAATTCTCTCACCCTCTCACGCCTCTAGCCTGTACACCAGTACTTGCATAAATAAATAAATCTTAAAAAATAAAATAAATAAATAAAACAAATTTAATAAATAAATAAATAAAAAAAAAAAAAAAAAAAATCTTAGCAAAATACAATACTGTTAACTAAACTGTCCCCTCTTGGTTCTGTCACTAAACTATCTTATTATCTGTCAAAGTCAATTCTCTTCCTATTTATACCTCTTAATCTCTCACATGCCTTGAGTTGCATCATTCTGCAAAATATGCTTCTACCTGCAATGCTGGGTTCAGAATATCTGAACATGAAGCACAAACAGTTTTACCTCCACATCTCCACTTCTACATTTATTTAGAAAATAGGGGAGAGTACGGGTCTAAGTCCAGTTCGCTATGTAGATGTCTTCTGCACACCACTGAAACTGGAGGAAATGTGACAAAAAACAGCTCAGTAGGGCAGTAGGATTATTGCCTTTAGATAAAAAGTTTAATGATTAAAGCTCACAGTGTTTATTAGGAAATAAATTGCAAAAATTTTAAACAGGTCCAAGGGCTAGGAAGGTTCAAGTGCATTCTGAAACAACAAAGAAAATCTGGCTAATTAGGAGAAAGACTTATTAAGTGTACCCTGGGAATACTAAAAAGACTTGTGTATCTAACTCACACATTTAAAGAATGAAAGAATTACAGAAAGGTAGGTCATGACTGATTCAAGTGTATTGGTAAACAGATATACTTTAAAGGGTAAATTCTGAAACACATTCCAAAGTGCTGCTGATCAAGAAGTTCTAGTGATAAAATTAAATACCTTAAAATTTCGTGGATCTTTTGTATTCTTTCTTCAATGCTAACATCTTAGTTCTCTTCATTTTTAAAATCTATATTCATTTAATCACTTCCTAATTAATTTCTATGTCTGCCTCCAAGTCCAACTCTATTTTAACACTGTCACATCCTTCAAACAGAGTCCAGAATAATCTCTGTGTAGTACAAACTAATCCTATCACTCACCTGCTTGAGATTCAGAGAGCTAGCCTGAGTCACAGTGCTCCAGCCCCCTCCTCACCCTCTGTCCACTAGACATAGTCTTCCAAAAGGAGAAAGGCCTCAGGCTGGCCACTTTGCACCAACCACACCCATGTGTATGAGAAGTGCCTGTCACAAGTGGTTCCTTTGGCTTTTTGTTTCAATTTCACCACCAGACATAAATAACTTCTCATTAAAAAATGACAGGCCCTCTAATTTATGGGTAAGGTTATCCTCGTAACTCCTAAAACAATTTTCAAATATTTTAATGACCAGAATCATTTCCTTCAAACAATATTTAATATAAAATGCCAACAAAAAGTGGATGAAATAGTATTTACGAGGTTGACAAAACAGGCAGAGGTTAGGTTGTATAGAACTGTGTAGGACAAAGAATAAAATTCAGATTTGGTTTGGTACAGTACAAAGTCACAGAAGTAAAAGCAGGAATGTGATAAAACCACTTTTGAAAAACTAATGTGGTTGCTGTGTGTAAAAGAGTTGCAATTATTGAGAAAGAATTTCAACATTTCTGATACATTCTCATAAACCTTAATTAAACCTGCAAAGAGTGACATACAACTTCCAAATAAATGGGCTACCATGATAAAGGAGTCACAGAATACCTGATCCTCACTGGTTAATCCCAGGTGCATCACAAGGTAAAAATGCACCAGGAAGTCCGAGTTTGGCAGCACGTCCTGGCGTCTGGTCATCATGGCACAGATTAGTTTGTAGGCCTGCAGTTTGCCTTCTTTATATTCATTTGGCAATGTCGTCGCCTGCCAAAGAGATGATGTTAAAAGATTTAATCAACTCCAGATGCAGAACATTTCAACATTTCATTTACTTCTCAGTTTGCCATAAAAGTTGTTTATGGAGATGTGGGATGCAGTGATTTTAGAAAGACCCAGCTTGTCTTGGAAGCATGCAGTTTGGGGCAATTACAATTTTTAAACTCAATTTCAGACAGGAAGAGGAAATTGCAATAAAGGAATCAACACATATGCACTTGCCTTAAATAGCCATGATGCAAACATTCTGAGTGGTGGGATCAGGACCGGAGGAGATGGAGAAGTCTGGTTATCCAGGCTTACTGCTAGATTATCCCGTATCTAATTCACAAAGAGGAGAATTTTAGGAAAAGCAACATTTAGGTTATCCTTGGGCTATTTCAATATTGTTTTTTATGGCCAAATAGCGGCTTCCAATTAAATTTCTTTAAGTTGAGTGAAACTCTACAATATCTACAAGTTTTTTTTAATCATAAGATCTATTGTCCATTGGTATTGTGGGTCTGACTTACTGTACCTGGTTTTAGATCTAATATATGACTAAGGCACTGCTTTTCTTTGACTATTATTTGGAGAGGCCCTGAACTCCAAATGTCAAGCAATGGTTTACCAAGTTTTACATATAAACATGAATCATGTTTCTGAAAAAAAAATTCAATAACAAGAGGAAAGTGTACGCAATAAACAAGAACCAAAATGAACATTCTATGTATTCTAAGATTTCACTTTTGTAAAATGTGTTTATCATGTATCATTTTTAGAAAGAGAATAACTAAAACTACATAATACTCTTGTTTAACATTCTACATAGCATCCAATTGTCTATAGTAATATTCTTCTTACCCATTAAATAACTCTCCTGCATTTATAAAATGAACCAATTATAAGAATTTTTATTTATTCTTTTATAATCAATATACTTAACTAAATACTTAACTTGCATTTCAGAATATATGTTCTTCCTTGGCGCACTGCAACAATTTTTATGTTAAATGGTAAATTAATTTTCCCATATTAGAATAAAAGATAATGTAGTGAGATATACCTTTGCTAGTTTGTACCACAGTTCATAGAGGTAGCCAAAAACTTTGGCATGGATCTTCGGTGACTGGATATTATTCACATCTCCAAGGATTCCCAAGACTCTTCTCCATAGCACAGCAGCAGAATCTGGGTGCCAACCAGTGAGGTTCCCCCCAGCAATGATACTACAGTCATCGGTGAGGCATTCGCTGCTATCTAGGGAGAAACATGTGTGTGTTAACCCTGTAAAATCAATCCTGATTTTACCAAAATAGCCTTTTTTCTTTAATGAAAATTACTTGTGCTTGAAAATTTATGTATTCAGGGTAAAATTATTAAAAGTGTTAAATGAATGACAATTTGAGGGCCTCCCTGGTGGTGCAAGGGGTTAAGATGCAACCTATGAACCTGACCACAGCCGCTGCAGCATGAGTTTGATCCCCGGCCAGGGAGCAACCCACATGGCACAGCAGACATCTCCTGACTCGCCCCCTGCTCCCCTCAGCAGTGTATTTCAGTCACTCTGCTTGTTCTGTTCCCCAATCTGTCTCTGGTGAATCCTCTCACCACCCCCAACCCCAACACCTCTGGCCTGTACCCCAGTTCTTATATGCATAAATAAATCTTTAAAAAAATGAATGACAAATTGAAATGATAGGAAAGCAGGATCAATGAAGAAAGGTCAAATGATTTTGATTCTTCCAATTAAAAGGGGAATACCTAGATAAGGCAAATCAGTGCTTGGAGACCTGCAGGAGAGGGATAAGAGGGGAACCTTGAGCAAGATGGGTAGGGAATAGGATCATGAAAAAATAGGTGGCACAAAGGTCTCATTGCCAGAGTGACTCTTGTTGTGGCTGCTGTTAGTTTAGGCTTATTTGGGTATAATTTATTACAATAATTTTTATCCTTTTTAGATTCCAGGAATTTCAAGAAATATATATAATCATGTAACTGTCACCATAAATTGTTACCATAATTGGGATATGAAACAGTGTCATCACTCAAAAAGTGCCCTTTATAGTGAGTCCCCTTCCTTTATTGTCTGTGTCAGGCAACCACTACTATTTTCTTTTCCTAAAATTTTGCCTTTTCTAGGATGTCATACAAATGGAATCTTAGAGTCTTCTGTCTTTCTGTCTGGCTTCTTTCACTTAACATAATGCATTTGCAATTCATCCATGTGCTTTATGTATTAGTTTGCTCCTCCTTACTACAAATCAATATGTACCACAGTTTGCCCATTCACCTGTTGAAGGACATTTGGATAGTGTTCTGGTTTGGAAAATTATAAACAAAGCTATCATAAATATTTGCATATAGGATCTTATATGAACACGTGTACATTTCTCTCTTTTGACACCAGTTATCACAAAATGGCATATATTATTTTTTCATTTTTTTTTTCCTTTTAGTGGTTTCCTTCGAGTGGCTGCCTGAGAAAGGAACATGTTCTTACATATTTGAAAGAATGTTTCTTGACTTCAAATTTATAGTTTGGTTAGGTATAAAATTCTGTTTCAGAAATGTTTTCTATAGGTTCCTAAATAATTTTAAAATCAGCAGCATCCTCATACTAATTTTTTTTTTGTGGGACCCTCGCTGGTGGCTGGGGATGGAACTGGCACTGCAGAGGCTGCAGGCAGCCTCGCAACCCAGTGGTCAACCGCTGAGCCACCAGGGGAGGCCCCTTACACTAAAATTTTTAATGAAAAATTATTAGCATAAAATTTTAATAACCTCATTTTTATACATAGTATTCTGAAACTCCTATCTGCCTTGGAATTATGTATTTTTCTTGCACATCTGAAAGAGATTTTCAGAATATGGTACTTTGGGCTGACATTTTTATCATTGAGTACTTTGAATTTACCATTCCTTTCTTTGTTTGCTGAGTTTCTGCTGAGAAGTGTGATTTCTTGATGGTAGTTACCTGCTTTTATCTTGCTAATCATCTTCAATAGTCTTCTCTATCTTGAATTCTGGCTAATTTCACTTTGTATTTTGGTGAAGGTTTTACTGCATTTAGGTAATCAAGTGTTCTTTTAGTATCATGGACTTGCCTATTAATTTCAATACCTTCTCCAGGTATTGAAAGTATTCCTCTGTTATTGCCTTGAATAAGTTCTCTGTCCTCTGCTCTTTCTCTTCCCTTTCTGGGATACCTATTATTCTTACATTGACTTTCTTAATGGTGTTGGATATTTCTAAAATTTCCTCTTACTTTCAGTTCTTCACATTGTATTTCTCTCATTTTTCACTTAGATTCTTAGTGCATTTCTATTAGATCATTAATTCAATCCTTCATTTGGTCTATGCTATTTTCATACCTTCCTCTATAGTTCTTGATTTCTTTACCTCCTTATTTTCTGTTACTTTCTTATTAAAGTTTCAATTCTTACCTTCTCTTAATTTTATTTCTGAGCTCATTTAATTTTTATGAATTTTGTTGTTTCTCTTTCATTTGCTTTTGATTTCTCTTGTATTGCTTTGACTTGCCTTTCTGAGTTTTTTCTTGTAGTTCTTTGAGTATCTTTATTATAGCTGTTCTGAACTCCACCTGAAAAGGAGATATAATCCTCCATCTTTTTTGTATTTCTATTCTAGAAAGTTGTTCTCACCTTGTTATGTTTCATGTTGCTATGTATAGTATTTTTTTGTTTGCCCATTTTGTTGTTTGACATCACCCTATTTTATTTTTAATATTTATAGCAGTATCTTTGGATGTTGAACTATTTTACTTTTCCTGTAGGTAGTGCTGTGGTTTTCTTTTTATGTTTTTGGCCTTTGTTGTATGTCCTAAGACCTGTTCTGCAGTTGCTAAGTCAACAGGGTGGGGACTAGGCTGTAGGGGTTCAAAGAATGGTGCAGATGATTTTAGGCTCATTTTTGTGATATCCTTGCTCTCTAGTATTTGGGATAAGAGAGCAGTCCTGTGCTCCCTTGGGATGCTTCATGAAGTATGCACCAATCCCAGGGCATGGGGGAAGGGAAATGCAGGCCAGAGTGCCCGCTTTGGTCTTATTTTTACTGGGGAATCTGTCTTAATATATTTTTCTTTTCTTAGCTTTTGCTAATTTATTCATCACATTCTCAATATGAGGTATAGTTTCAAATCAGATATCTTTTCAGAATTCCATAGTGACTGAATTAGTAAAATCCTGTAAAAATTCCATGAGCTTTTGAAAATCACACGTATTTTGAATTATATTCAAAGTTTTTCATATATACCCTTTCAAACAAGGTTAACAGTAAAGTGTAAGTTATTTCTACTGTAATATTTTATTTTACTTAACTCATTAATGAGAACTGACATTAAAATTTCCTACTATTATTATGATTGTTGCAGTAATTCCTTGCAATTCTATCTAATTTTGTTTCATATATCTGGGGAATATAGGTTCATATGAATTGAGAATTACTGTTGTCACTACCAAATGATTTTTGCTTTAAAGTTCATGCAACTGACATATATAAAGTTGCATCTGTCTTTTTTCTTATCAAAGAATTTATTTACTTACATAATATCTCCCTGTACCATTATGTATTAGAGATACCTCTTGTAAACATTATATGGCTGGATTGTATTTTTCAACAAAATCCAAGAGTTTATGATTTTTTAATTGCAAATTTTAACTGCTTACATTTATTGCAATTACTAATTTATTTTGATTTTATTTCAACATCTTACTTTAGGTGTTCTGTTTAAACCATCTTTTCTTTCTATTTTGAATCTTTGGAAAAAGTCTCCAAAGATGTGTCCTCAACACTACCATCCTCTTTCTCTACTGTCTATTTTTTATTAATATAAATATAACCAAAGTTCAATTCCACACCCCATAGAAATAAATTTCTATGTAATTTGTAGTAATTATAATTTTTTGGTAATTATCAACCCCCAATGAATTTCATTTTCAGTATATATGTTTTTAAGGCCTAGTAAAAGAAATTAAAGCACAATCTGTGGAGGTGAGAAATTCAAGTAATGGAAACATGAGAGCCAACAATAAGAGTGAATCTCACAGGGAGCCAGGGTAGAATTAAGAATAGTTCTGTATCCTACAAACACTGTATCCAGCTGCAAACATTTTATTATAAGTGACAGAAAGATCTCAAGACATTGAAACAAAGAATAAGCATGGGACACAGTGTCAAGGAAATACTTTCCTAAGCACAGGACCACTGTTCCCGTCACAGAGGAAAACACATCTGTATTTTCCACATTAATATCATATAACTAATTGAGGAGACACATTAAAGTGTGGAGGGACAGAAGAGGAAGACAGCGTCACAGGGATTTTCTTGGCTTTATTCTTGGGAGGATAATCTGAACAGAGTCTGAAGTAGCACTAGATCCACAGACCCATTGTTCAGGCACCTCCTCGACAATGGAGACCAGTGTTGAATACTGCAGAAGGGACACTGAAGAAATTCAACTCCATACCACAAAAGGTGGGTGGAGAGAGATAACTACAGACTGGTTGGGGCAGGAGCCTGCTGGCAGCTCTGGGGAAGGGAAGGCTGAGATGTGTAAAGGTATACACTTGACAGAGTAGAGATAAATGTAGAGGAGCTGGGTGTGCCAGACAGACTAGGTCCCCAGTGAAGTGGGCAGGGTGCTAGACAGTGCTCTACCTCCTACTCTCTACCCTGTTGGGATCTGTGTTACCCTGTGAGACACACTAACTGCCCAGAAGTGAGTCAGGAAATCAGAAGGGGCAGCTATCAGAGGTACCACAAACATCAGCCAGTCTCCCTGCAAACCAACTTTCACCAGTGACTAGACCCAGCCAAGTCCCTCCCCAGCCCCAATTCAAAAACTGAAGATTAATTCTTGACATACAAGGTACAGAAAAGCCAAGTGGGAAAAGCTAAAAACAAGACAAAATCCACTATGCCATCTGGTGGAAAAGTAGAAATTCTGCATCCTCCAAGTTATAGCTAAGGACACTGTTGAAAAAATAGCTAATCATAAGCTCCCAAATGACAAGCAGCATAATGTGGCAGTTAATTTCTCTTAAAGAATGGCATCTCTTTTAATCCCTTAACAGGAGGGAAGTAAGGGGATTATATGATTTACAGTTTTGTTTCACCCCCACCCCCAAAATACAGCCATCCAAAACAGAGATTAGTCCCCACCCTTCCAGTTACACTGAGGCTTCACTTGAATAACACTGCCAGGTACCTCAACCCTGCTACCTGTCAACTGAAGCATTCCATGAAAGGATCCCATGCAGAAAATGTTTTAATACCACCTTCCTCTCAGAAAAATTTACATTGCAATGATAAAATCCTAGAGAAAAATCCCTCATCAGATTATCAATATGTGTTGATTCCATTAGAAGTATTTGAAATGATTACATACTCACAATTACTGTGAAAAAAATTTTAATGAGTTGAAATGTTTTTGCCTAAAATTACTCTATTCGTGGCATAAGTAACAGAGCAGATGCTGACATTTTACATAGATGGTTCCTCAGTAAAGCAGCACTTAATTAAAAATTGGGGATTTGAGAGATTTTTGAAAATTTCACATTCACCCTAAAAATACCAAATATTTAGTTTATTTTCTTGAGTGAGCTAGTAAGCTAGCCTACTATCTTTTCATTTCATTATTAAATCCTAGGGAGGCATTTAAAGTTTGTATTAAAGTGGAAACTCTTAAAAACAAGTAATATTCTATGATCTTTCTCCAAACACAAACAGTATATAATTTTGACAGAGCAATAAACTTTATAACTCTGTAATATACAAAGGACTTTAGCCATGAAATAAATCTTGGTAATTTTTTTTTAAAGGCACTTATGACTAAGTGATGATATTACAACAAGACTGATATTTTAGATAGGCTTAGTAGCGTTTTGATAAAACATACCTGGTACTTTGGAAATGAAATTCCCTCTTAATTTGAAAACTAAACAGAAGGTACAAACCCACATGTCTCAACTGAACCACCTTAATCTGGGGACCAGAAAATTCAGGCCTACCCTTTGATAACTGAAAATAGAGAAGCAAAGTTGGCATTCCTCTGCCTTTCAGAATGAATCACTAAGACCTCACTCTTCTCTCCTCTCCTCCTTTTTAATGAATTCAGAAAGAAACCAATTCCAAAGTAGCTACCATTGTTATTTTTCTTTATAATTATTTTATGTCTTCAAGCAAATCAAAGCCCTGTGAAAGTGCCAAAATGCTGACAAACCATTCCTGCACAAACAGTTTTGATGGCAGGTAACAGTAAATAAAATTCACATGCACAGCTATAATTAAAAGCAGAAGTGGTGAAAGAATTTCTACAACATTTGGAGGCAGAGCTATCAAATATATTAAAGAAAAGAGATTTTGAAACTGTGCATACATACCTACATACCTTTTATTATTAAAAATGTTTAAAATTTAATTGCTGTCCTAGGTATCTATCTAAAGAACACAAAAATAGTGAAAGGAAATTGCACTCCTATGTTTAGAGCAGTATCATTTACAATAGCCAAGACACGGAAACAACTTACATGCCCCAGAAAAGATAGATGAGTTGATCAAGAAGTTGCGGCACATACACACAATGGGATACTACCCAGTGATCAGAAAAGATAAAACTTATGCCATTTGCAGCAACATAGGATGGAACTGGAGGGGGTTATTCTAAGTGAAAAGCCAGAAGGAGAAAGAGAAATACTGATGATTTCACATATATGTGGAATCTAGAGAAACTAAACAAAGGATCAGACAACAACTAAACAACTAAACAACAACAACAACTAAACAAACTAAACTAAACAAAGGATCAGACAAAGACACGCTGTGAGACTGGCCCCTTGAAAGCAGACTGTAGATGTGAGACACTCAGTAAGGGAGGACTAAGGAGAGGAAGAGGGTGGACAACGGGAGAGGAGAGCACAGTGGACTGTGAGCACTTTGGTGGTGGGAAAACTATGGCAACCACACTTGAGAGGAGAAAGCCTGTATTGTGAAAATAAAAGCAAGGATGTTTACAAAAAATATATATATTTAAAAATCCCATAAAAATTTAATTGCTGTAAAACAATAGGCTGCAGCTTAACACATATTCTTTCACTGATCCAAGTATTTACTGAATGTCCCTCTCCTGCCATATACCATTCGAGGAGTCAAGAATCAGTTGTAAATACAACAGACAACAGGGGCCTCCCTGGTGGCAAAGGGATTAAAGACAGCCCTATCAAGCTGCAGCACCAGTTTGATTCTCCGGCCGGCCAAGGAAGTAACCAACATGGCACAGCAGACCTTGAAGGAATCACATGGGGCAGAGATGTGAAGAAGATGTGCTTCATTCTCAGCTTCGGACTTGCACCAGGGACTTGGAGGACATGGAAGGAGACTCATGCAGCCAAGACATGTAGAGACAATTGTAAGAGATATGGGTGAGAGACCCGTGGGGGGATTGACAATGGCAGATGTTACCTTGATTTGTACTCTGATTTTGCTCCGTTCATCCCAGACTTGCCTGGTCCCTTTTGCCCATTTCTTATGTTTCCCCACCAGAAGGTGCCTTAGACTTATGGCAAGCTTTTGGGCCTCAACAGCCCCAGTATGGGCCAACTCTGTTTGGGTGGGCCTTGACCCATCAGGCAATGAATAACTGTGGGTGTTTTATTATAAAACTATTATCCTTTAGTCTCTTTCCATGCACACTACTGCTATTAAAGATCTTTCACACTAAGAGAATGCTTTGCCTTATGTGGCAGATGGGAGATGGCATTTAGAGTGTGCAAGTTTGGGGGCATGCTAATAGCACTTAACACATTATTTATGGGCATAAGGATAAATGTTGTAACAGAAGACAAGATACTAATCCTGAAGACTTGATAAGTCCTTAGCAACAGTGGTCATGACCTATGCATCTTTTTATTTTTACAGCATCAAAACAAGTATTTCTTGGTTATGACCTTATTCACTAAATAACAGGTGATGTTAAATGTAATCCTGAATAGCATAAAACTGATTTTCAGTTATGAAGTCATATATTGAATATATCCTCCCCCAAATCATTACCTCAAGAGAACTAAATTTATGTATACATTAGCTATACTTTTTCATTTTCTATTTTCTTGATTCTCTGGTATCTAGGGCCTCCCTGAGGGATAGCTAATTCTTACAGATAGCAAACAACTCACTAAAGTATGAACTTTTCATATGTAAAGCACCCAACCCATGGCTCACACCTTCCAACTACCTCCATTATCTAGCTCTTACACATCAAATCAATATCCCTATCTGTCCTAATCACCCCAGGACCAGCAACTCTGGATAAAACATATGCTCCAAAGACTGATAAAATTATTCAAACTACCCAACTTTAAGTCTTCTTACCATGTCTGGCCTTGTCTTTCTCACAGAAATGATAATAAATATTGTCCATGTTTCCCCTCTCTTCCTTTGCCTCCTAACCTACCCTGGTGATTTCCCATTTGGGCCCCTGCATGGCCTACTATGCCTCTTGTTTCTAGGGGGCCTGTGAGTATAAACTTCATGACAATCATTTCTAGACATGCATGTCCTTCTCATAACTGATTAATCCCAGATGCATTTTGAAAATATGCCCAATAAATTTAGCTGTCATTTTCAGCAAACATGAAATGACATAAATAAGAAAGCAAATATAAAACTAAATATTTAAATTTAAATTGCCAGTGATGAAGGAATTTAAGATTTTAGTTTATTGTTATTGGTTTCACTATTTTAAGCACTTGATATTTGGTAAGATTAGTCAATGAGAAACACAGAAACATTCAAACTGGTTGGTCACTTTCTAAGTCCCAAAGAGTGGGCTAACATGAGTTTTATTTTGTACGTTTATGAAGAAACTGTTCTCTTAAGAACAGAAAGTTAAATTCAGAATTGTGATAATCCTTAAGCCTTATCATATTACAGTTTGTCCTTTTTCACAGATGACAAGATGAACTATTGAACTGCGTGTACTGCTTCTCTATATTAGTATTTCAAAGAACTAAGTATCTGGAGGAGTTAATAACAACACAGTGCAGCAAATAAAATTACCTCACACAAGTTTATTAAATTGAGCTTCCCCATGCACACTCTGAAACTAATTTTCACAAAGGACAGACAAGAGAAGTGATCAACCAATTTTCTTTCTTTTCAATAAAAATATTTAAAACTAGTTCTTGTTTAAGATTCAGTATTGAAGATTCAGTATTGCCTGTGATAGTACCATGAAGATGAGTTCCCCTTGGACAATCTGTTATATTGGGCCTAAAGAAACCAAAGAAGTATAAATGTTTCTCAAATAGTTTAAAGGAGTTTTCAGTTGTAATTTTGATACCAATGTAATCAAAAGGAATAAATGGTATTGCATCTATAAATGTATTTGCATTGTCAGAACACCTTGGAACCAGTTCAATTCTTGCTTTAAGTATCTATTTAGACAACAAGATTTCTCTGGGTCACAGTTTCCTCATCTCTGAAATAAAATTTGAATCTGTAAGACATGACCTTCTTACCATACATAATCAAAGAGGTTCACTGGCATTCATTTTATTATTATGGCCCATAACTTGCAACTAGGAAACCCTGGGATCTTCCAACTATTAACACATGTGCCTCTTTTTCAACTATGCAGTTACCTGTTAAGTTTGAAGTGTCAGTGGGACTGAGCTGTAACCAATGGCGAGCATCAGAGTCAGTCACAACATCTGTGGGAGTGTTCAGTTCTGGGTCTTCCTCACAGGTCTGCCAAGGGTTCATGGCCAGCTCTGCCTCACTGTTATAGCCCAGAACTGTGTCGCTGCTGACGCTTTCACCTGGCATAATTGAAGAACCAGAATGTTCACAATTACCAACACATAAGTAACCAAACAGCTGACACGACAGAAATCATTTAGGAACAGGGGTTCAAAAGGAGGTTGAAGCTCTTGGTCAATAAAACAAAGCTTCCAAATGCAGAGCATTAACAGTCCTATCATTTAAGTAGCATTCTTTTCAAACTTCAACTCAGTAATCCCATGTATATGAAAGATTATATCAAGTCATTAAGTTTTCTACTAGAAGTTATTATTATTATAAAATGAGGGTGAAGGAGGGAGAGCATGAGAATTGATTACACCTCAAATGAAAGTTTTTTCTGAGAGCTAAAGGAGCCTAAGCAGCTTTATACCTTGAGCCTGATGTCCAGGCCTAAACCCAGTGTGAATCACCAAGATCAATGGGGATGAGGTGTCCCACTGCAAGAGATTTTCTCTAATAGAAATTCTCCCCTTAAAGCACTAAAAAATTCTAATTTGTCATAATACAATGATGCTTTCAAAGGTTAGTAAGTCTTTTATAGGGCGATTTAGTCTGACACAAAACAGACCAGACAGTCTGTTCCTCAAAGTCTCCTTGTCTACTTCATCACAATTTTATGTCTACCATTTTTTGTCTGCTCACTCTTCCAGCTGTCCTTGTATCAGCTGCTGACAGTCATTCAGTCTTGCTGTGTCTAATGTGCTATCCTCTGTTCACTGGCTAAAAATTTAAAATTGTCCCAGTAACCAAGCTGTTAGGTGTCTAACTTTATAACATAATCTGTCACAGCACTTTAAGCCAACAGGGTCTTAGGTAGAACCTAAAGGAGTTCCTCTGCACCCCAGAAAAACCATCCTGAATTTGCAGCACTTGTGTCCTACGCTCTCTGAGAAGAAGGTGGCCTGATACTCCCTAACTCTAAGCCAAGTATTACAGCTACATTTTATAGTATATAATGATATGTCTTAGGGTATGAATCAACTTTTAATTTTTAAATACTTGTACTATTGACTTCAATGTACTTCTGAAGCTTTTTGCTCCTAGCCTGTGACCTTGCTGGGAAAAAAAATCACTTTTCCTTCTGCATCTGTCTGCTCACCCAAGACATCAGACTCAGTTGTGTCTCTCCCAAGAATAGAAAGACACGCCTCTAAGGTACAAGTAACTGATGGGAATTGCTTTATTGTATGTTTGAATTAACCATCCATCAATCCTGGGATTCCAGGAATAATAACATCCCATTTCACAACTATGTCTCTTGAGATGACAAGATACTATTCAAGTTAGAAAGTAAAAAGAAAACAAAACACATCAACTCTGGAGCTAGAAAAAGACAGACACCATTCCCTGGAACTTACTCTTTTGTCTTTCCCTACATTTTCCTTGTGTCTGCTGCAAATCATCTTTTAAATCCAATTCAGCAGGGCTACTGCTTCTTCGAACTAAGATCTTGAGAAAAAAAGAAATACTGCATGTTACAGGAAAGTTTTAATTTTCACAAGGCTGTTGAGTTTCCAGTCCATATTTCTAAAGAAAAAGAAACAATAATAGCATCAAAAACCTGAATGTTTTCAAGAATTATGACATTGAAAGTTTATGTGTTCACAAATTACTGTAATTGAATTACAAATTACTCAAGATCTAAAATTTATGGCCTCTACTTAGTCAACTGACATCCAATGAAATTCACCTACTAAGAAGAGATGCCAAATTATATGGAAATAATTATTTTAAAATTCTATTTGTTCCTCTGCTTGAGCACACATACAGTGAATATATTTCTCCAGAAATCCTAAGCTACCCACAACTGTTGAGTGTGCTGACAGGAAAGGCATAAACTCCACCCAGACTTCTAAAGGTCACTCAGTGTCTCTTCCTCGTTAAATGTGAAACAGACTTTCCTGAGCACCACTTACCACTGGGTCTTGTATTCAATGCAGAGGACTAAAACATTTGGAGGCAATCTGTAGCCTCTAACATTTAGAACTTGCTTGGAGAGACAAAACATACACAAATTACACAAAATGATCACAATGTACATAAGCAAAATATGCAAATAAATGCTCTAAAAGGTATGCAGAATAAAGCGGTTACCTTAATTTGCTCAGTTATAGAAGAGCTGTTCAAGAAGGCAACAGACATGAAGTGGTAGAGAGAAGGCAGGAAGGGATTCAAGGCAGGAAGCACTGAGTGGTAATCAGCAAATTCTATGTGCAGGAAAAGAAGCTGATTATATTAGACCATGCAAGGCAGTCAGGTGAAGAACGAAAAAGGTAAGAAGAAAGTACAGACCACTTACTAAAAAGAGGCAATTGTGAAGGGGCCTTAACATAAGGCTCAGGAATTTCCACCCAATATTGACAAAATGAGCAACTGTATGTTCCTGACAATAGCTTTGTAATTAAAAACATGATAAGAAAGATAAGTCTAGGGGTTCTCTGTGGGATAGGTTAGAGCTGAAAAGAAAATTGCTATGTAACTGTTATGGTGATTCAAAAATGAGCAGGTAAGGCTTTTGATGTTAGAAAAGGAGAAGAAAATATGAATAAGAAAATGCTGCATAATGACAGACAAGAGTTTGTTTTCAGCTGTAAATGGGAGTGGATGAAAATTAAATCACAAAAGGGCATGAATCTAGGAGTCCATGAGAAGGGAGGTGGGGAAGGAAGGAAGGGAAGGAGAAAGGGAGAACAGAATGAAGGACAGGTGATGAAGGAACCTGGGGAAGTTTCTAATATTTTAAAGTCCATCTTTGAGTTGCATATTTAAAGAGAATGTCCTATAAATGGGCAACAAAAATCTAAGAATGATGAGATAGAGGATAAAATCAGGAACGAAGATGTAAATTGGCCTCTAGTGCAGTGTGTGTAAAAAAACCTCGGATTCAATGTGCCAACTAATGGGATGAATATTTAACAAGCAAACAAATGAAAACTGGAGACCAGGATGTATAATTAAACTAAACCAGAGAAATGGGTCATGAATAAAATATTTATAAGACTAATGGTATATGACAAAATGTTATACAACCTTAAAGAGAGATGACTAATATCTAATTGGAAATATAACAATTAGGACATTTCCTTAATTGAAAAGCAGAATGCACTCTCTTCTACTTCTGATTATAACAAGAGATGAAATATCCACCAGCTAACGAACTAGTCCCTGCATAAAAACTTGGGTTGCCCTTTAGGGCTCAAAGAAAGGAAAATAAACCTCCAGCTGGTGATCCATAACATTCCCCTCCCCCCAAAGGTAGGCAGAAACCAGGACAGTGAAATGAGGTTATCAAAGGGTTAAACACAATAATACCATGGTCAGTGGCAAAAGGAACAAGACTCTAGGATTAAAGTAGCAGTCCCAGTTCCTGGGAGACCCAATATAATACTGCCCTGGTAAAACTCAATCACTTTGGACATTCAGGTTTCCTATAGATTAAGATTAGCCAGTAGGAAATCACAATCAAAGATTACCAAACACAAAAGGGGATAAATTACCATGCATGAGAAAGGCTCAGAGACAACAAATAATAGATTCAGATAACCTCTCAAGGATTTCAGATAATAAAACAAAGAATTTAGAATTGCAACCTGTGAACATTTTAAAGGAATAAATGATGGGAATTACAAAAATGTACAAGCAGCAAGACTATTTTTTTTAAAGATTTATTTATTTATTCAAGAACCGGGGCACAGGCCAGATGTACGGGAGGGTGAGAGGATTCACCAGAGACAAAGTGGGGAACAGAACAGGCAGACTAACTGAAATACACTGCTGAGGGGAGGAGCGGGTGAGACAGGAGAGGTCTGCTGTGCCTGAAGCAAGACTATTAGAAATTACAAGATATACCTAAAAAGAATCAACCTGAACTTTCAGAACCAAAAGATACAGTTGGTGAACCAAAAAACTCTAAGTATTAAATAGCAGATTGCATAGCAATAGAGAACTATTTAACTGAATAAAAGACACATCTGAAGAATTACCCAGTATGTAGCCAAAAGATCGGCAACAACAGAATGGGAACTTAAAGAGACATGGAAGACAGAATAAGAAGGACTAATATATTTCTTCCCCAAATTCCATAAAGGTAGAGCAAAGAATAAAATAGGAAATATTTGAAGAAATGATTGCCAATAATTTCCCAGAAACAATGGCTGCAACCGCAGGTAACTTGGCATATGGCATACCAAAAAAGACAAATATATAAACCAAAAGAAATTGCACTTAAATGTGATGTAGAATAACCAAAGGACAAGCACAGAGAATGGCAAGGAACAATACATAGGATGGATAGAAGAATTCTCAACAGCGACAATGAAAGACAAAAGATATGAAAAATAGCTTCCACTAAGGGAGTAGAGGAAGAATAAGAGGGGAAACTACATTAATTGATGCTGTAGTATTGTTCAGAAAGACAAATTAACCAATGAGTCAAGTGCCATAATAAAGCCTACCACATCCCTGAAACAGCATATATGAGAGAAAGGTGGCCTTCAGATAAATGAAGGAAAATTTAATTCAATAAATGGAATTCCCCTGTGTAGGTGAAAAAGTGAAACTGGATTCCAATCTCATATCATAAACAATCTATTTCAGTTAGATGAAAGAGTTAAATATATAGAGCAAAACTGAAACACTTAAAATATAAGGTAATATTTCTATCTCTGTGGAATTGATATTTTAATTTTTTCATAAAACCTAACCATGAAAATGATTAATAACCAAAAACATCAAAATTAAGAACTTCTGCTCATCAAAAACACTGGAGAAAGTGAAAATATAAGCCATGTATTTTATTTGCCAGAACACAACCAAAATGGGATTAGTATTCAAACTATATAAAAAATTGATACAAAAAAGATGAAAAGATAAATCAATATTAAAATATAAAAATGGCACAGAAATCAGTAGGTACTGCATAGATGAAAAACAAATGGTCAATTAACAAATGGAAAGATTTTAAACTTTGTAAGTAATCTGAGAAATGCAAATTAAAATAAGATCCAATTTCACCCATGTGACAAAAAATTTCAAGCCTGACAGCTGCAAGTGTTGGCAAGAATATGAATGAATGGCAACTCTTGATACATTGCTGACAGAACTGTAAGTAGTGCAACCACTTTAGAAAACATACTTGTGTAGGACATTCTTCTACTCTATGGCTCATTAATTCCATACCTAGATAGTCACCACAGAGAAAACTTTAATATGTAGGTCTTGAAACACATACAAGAATGTACAAAACTGTGTTTTTTCATATATATTAAAAAAAAACATGAAACAATCTAAATGTCTATCAAGAGTATGGGAAAAATTATGATATAGCCACAATGAAATATAGGACAGAGCAAATTTAATGAACTATGGCTACCTGCCATAATGAAGATGAACTTTAGAAATAAATAATTAAGCAATAATATCTCTTTAATTAAGTTCAATAACAAGCAAAACTAAAGGATATATTGTTTGGAGATACAACATATAGAGAAAAACAGCAGAGCAAAGCAAGGGCATGATCAACACAATGTCAAGATAATGCTGCTCTGTGAGGGGACAAGGAACTTCAAGGCAAAAGCAATGACACTGGCAATCTTTTAGTTCTTAAGCTGAGTGGTGGGTTTGTGGGTGCTTATTTGATTGTGGAAATATACACAATTATATATATAACTTATACATTATGAACCGGTAGTCGCCTTTTAAAAAACAAAGAAAAAAATTAATGTTGATTATCTTCCAGACATGGAGGAGTAGGGAAAGGTTTTTCTTTTTCTTTTACACCTTTGTGTAAAATGCTAGTTTTCTATGGATTATATATTATGTTGTTTTTTTTCCAAATGAATAAATATAAGATATTTGTGTGAGTTATGGACTACTTAAAAAAAATTATACTTAATATTTGTTTTTAAATTCAGTAAATGCTATTTTACATTTATTTTAAAGAAACCATAACATCTTTGCAAAACCTCATTTATTTATTACTAACTTATGTCAGGTGAATGCTACTACCCAAAACTGTATCTTTTCAGACAACGATACCACTTAAAACTACACAGTGTCACATATAGACCAAGTGGTAAATTATATTTTCATGCTAATTTTTTGTTTTTGTAATGTCATGATAATCTTACATGGACAGCAGTAAAATTTAAGAAGACTTCAAGATCATTTGGAGATACAATCCATTTTAAAAAAGACAAAAAATTGTAAAGGAAAGCATCAGTGCCACTAATAAATTTATTTATTGTATCAGTAATTTATATGCTTATTTTTTATGACAAACTGATGTGGTTTAAAAGTATCTTACTGTTATTCCTTCATGTTCTTTCTTCAGATGTCCTTTATTCTCTTGAATAGGCTTGGGTTCTGAAGAACTCAAAATTTGTGCATTTTCTATCTTTTGACCTACAGATTTGGGAAAAAAAGTTAACAGAAGGAATATTTCAGAGGGTAAATTAAAAAATGTTTTTTATAGAGGTAATTATTAAATTTAGATATCCTATAAATATAAAGACAAATGCTAAAGGCCTGGCAAACTGATAATCTGTGGGTCAAGTCCACATTAAAGAGCCAGTCTCTCTGACCCGGCTTTATGGAGAGCTTTTGAGAGTCGACTGAATGTCATCCACTGTGACATGTAGTACACAGCTGGCCCTTAGGCCCAGTCAGCACATCACGCTAGCACAAGGAAGGACAAGACCTGTTCCTGGGGTGTTGGGGCAGATACCGCAGAGAAAAGCTGTCTAAGCTTCACCATGTGAGCCAACAGGGAGAAGAGATCAGTAAGGTGGCTCAATACTGCTTGAGAATAAAGACTGATGAGAGAAAGCACAAATAACCAGCATCAGTAATAAAAAAAGGTAGTACCACCACAAAACCAGCAAATAATATAAAGATCCTAAGAGGAGTTTATAGAATAATCTGACAGCAATAAATATGAACAAATTCTTAGAAAAACACAACTTACCAAATCCAAAAAGGAAACTTGGAACATTTGTAATTGTTTTTAAATTTGAATGTCAAAAAATAAAATTTGAACACATTTTAAAACCTGTCTCACAGAAAACTCCAGGCAACTGGAAGATTCTAACAATCTTACATACCTTTTGGTGAACAAGAAATCATTTAGATAATACATTTCTAAAATTAATTTTTTATTGTATTTTCTCAATTTCAAACTGATTTCTAAGAGGGGCTATTTCCCTACACATTTGATAATGGTAACATGACCCTGATACGAAGAACTATGACACAGTATATTGATAAATAAGTCTGATTTACTTCTTAGTTAACTCATGAAGCCAAAACTAAGTCAATGACACCAAACACAACTTAGACATGTGCTATTATTGTAAAGTACATTATTCATTGTTTACAGGTCTAACCGTGTGCCTTTTTGCTTTTAAGTCCTGTTGTCTTTGAAAGTTGGAGAAACTGTGGTTAATGCTATCACAAGTTTTATTTTCAACCTCAACAGAGACTACAAGTTGCTAATAACGTTTTCACAAGTCTGTTCAATTTTCCATTCTCAATGTCAGGTCTCCCTGTCTTCTATCTACCTTGCTGCTATCCTTTACTTTGCAGTGTAATATTCTCAGCTTCCTTCCTACTTCAGCCACTCTGGAGTTCTTTCTAGTCCTCATAACATGCCACACTAGAAGTGCACAGTGTAGATATAGTTTAAACATTCAAATAGTGAAAACATTTCATTATCAGAAATCATATCCCTGTAATCAACTTACAAAGTGAATGTCTGTGAAATAGTAAGAAAGCAACAGGACACAGAGTTTCTCCTAGCCAGAATATAAAGTACTAAAATAACAAGGGAAGCATCTCCACACCTTGAGAAGAATCTGCGCGCAGGGGCTCAGTGACATCTGGTGTGCTGCTGCTCCGCAGGATCTGCTGCTGTTCTGCCACCAGGCAGCCAGATTCGACTGCAGATGCATTTTCTGACTGCTGACATTCTTCCACTTCTGTGGACAATAACACAAAACAAGCAGGGAGATATTGTAAAGTAATTTCAGTACTTAACTGATTCTAGAAAAGATACTTTTTCCCCAAAAATTGTGCAAAAGATAATCTGCTTTTATATCATAAAGTATCCTACACTTGTCTAATAGTTCACACTAAGAACACATTTTCCTTTTAAGTGATACAAAGCATTTTATTTTTCAATCAAAGTACAGAAAAAAAAAGGAGGGGGAGGAGAAAAAGTCACAGAAATGGTTGAGAACTGTAAAGGTGATTTGGAATTTTAGGGACAGGCATGCTAAGGAAAGGGAAGTCCAAGAGATACACAGAGTGGGTAGTTTACATTTGAGGAAAATAAAAGGTCTCTCTCTCTCTCTCTCTCTCTCTCTCTCTCTCTCTCTCTCTCACACACACACACACACCCCCTAAAAGGAGAAACATGGGGAATTTCAAATTTATTAATCCTTCTAATGATAAATACACAAATGCCCAAATAAAATTATGATTCCATAGTACACAAAACCAGTGCAATGTTGAATTAACCACTAAAGTACAAAAATGACCCACTGATTTTTTTAGAGAATACACATCACAAAATAGAAAACTATAAAAGAGAACTAACTACTCTATAATCATAGCTGACATTACAAGCTACATTCTTTAGTGAAGAAACTCCCTCCTATCCCATTTCTAAATTTCATGATTCATTTTAATCTCTAAAAACAATTCAGGGCCCTGGAAGAAACACTTCACCCTCATTATCTAGAATCATAGTTTCAGGGGTGCACATCTTTTGCCTAGATTATAATGACCTCCGAACTGGTCACTCTTCCCCTTGGCCTATCACCATTTTATCAATCCACTATGTGGAAACTAGTAAGTTCCCTCTAAAATAAAGATCTGATTGTGTCACTCCTCTCCTGCAGAGACTCTTCTTCATTATACAGTTAAGCCTATGTTCCTTCTGGCAAATACAGGGCTCTCCTTGCTATTGCACCACAGACTGATTCCCCATGAGGAATTCTTTTTCACATTAGTCTCAAGCAATTCTTACCCTTTTGGCACCACTGCTGTCTCCCTGCTGCTCACTCTTCTACACTAACTTCAAACTTGCTCCCTGCCCACTTCCCCATAGTGCTGCCCAGACAGGACCTGCTATATGTTCCTGTGTATGGACCCCACCACTGCATCCCTCATCAGACTCCATATTTGCTCTGCAGTCATAAAATTTTACATCCATATAACATCACACTGTCTACAAATTTTAATGAGTTAAAAGTTTCCCTCATCTACAAGACGGATCAAAATTCAGCCAGTATTATCTTATCTGGTAGTGTCACCCTATTCCTCACTGCTAATATGCCATCCTTTATTTAATCCATTAATCTGAGCCACAAGCCAAAGTGTTGGCTTGCCCTAACCATGCAGTTGTGTGTAAGAAATTGAATATACTAATATCTAAGTTGAATATAGAGGATTTCAACAAAACACTTGTTTTTACTATCCAAATAAAAATTCCATTTTAAAGTACACAAGCCACAAGACCACCAAACTATGTAATTTGTGTGATCCTTCATTTACAATTCAAAGCACTGGGCTGCATGTAAATTTAGATGCTGACAGGAAACTGTACTTAATGGCACAAGCAAAGGAAGGCCAAGGTGGCAAGTAACTTCCTCTTGTCTCAAATGGATAAGAAATGTTCATTTTCTCACAGAGACACACAAGACATATGCAAATGCTGGTGATTTAGTCACACATCCCAAAGCACAGACTACATCTTTTTCACAGGTCTACTTCCAGTATCTTCAGGATTAGGTAACAGAAGCCAGATGACACCATGGGGTCAGCCTTTCTGGCATCTTCTTTCATTGTTTATCCTAATTATGCAAGACACCAAAACCAGAGAGGAGTTTTATTTGTTAATGGACCTATTTATTAGTCCAATATCAGTAGAGGGAGCCCAAGAGCTTTCTAACTCAAAAAACTGGCAAGTGCCAGTTTTTATGGACAGTGGGAAGAGTGGATTTTATTCTCTTAAATTTGATGCCAAAAACTGGTAGATGTTGGTTTCTGGGCTATGGGCAGAAACAAGTAAGAGCTGGGCCAACACTGGCAGCATCTTTTTAAAGATAAAGAACATCACCATCTGGTGGGATGCAATACAGACACAGCACCATGGCTTCCAAATTCAAGTGTCCCCTCTGGTCCTCAATACAACAGATGAATGAAGAGCCTGCCATCGCCAGCTGGTCTGCCTTCCCAACAGGCTGACCTAATGCAGCTTTAAGGCTTTGTTTTTGCAAAACTGTTGGTAGGGACTTCTCAGATGGAGAAGGCCCAATACTGTAGAAATCACCAGAATTGGTAAGAGTGGGAGCAATTACAATTATGGTAGAAAGGAAAGGGAGAATCTCAATGTTAAATATGCTCTTAGGGCTACTATGCTAGTGGTTCTCTGACCTACTCGTGTAATTATACTATGAAAAAAAAGAATTGTGAACTCTCCTTATCCCACAACTTAAATTCCATTTCTGATTTGCAAATATACATTTATTGCTCCTCTCATACTTTGTACTAAGAATATATTCAATATATGTTTTGTGTAAATGAATGTTTTCTTGATACCTTTTTCCTTAAAAAAAAAAAACAAACACAGTTCTTGAGCTCCCTCTGCTGGCTTATCTGTTAAGAAAGAATGATTAATGTTAAAGTTACTCCCATTTTACACTAATAATGTAGCAGATGCTTCACAACAAATAGATACATTTTAACAGGGATATACAAAGATACAGGATGATCTGATATTCAAAATAGAAAACTAACAATCTAAGTTATATAAAAATATATTATAAATTCTGGGATTACTTAATTTCATTTTTCCCCATTAAGAACCAGCATGGTTAAATTGTGCAAACCTTTTAGCAATTTCTATTTATTCCAGATGCCAATTTTTAAAGCAATTTCACTTTTTAAATTTTTCTTAATCAAGCTTATTAAATGGAGTGAGATTCAATCTTCTAGGACCAAAAATTCTGAGTATTATTTACACCTTATAGAAGGTTCCACAAACAAAATTAAGGATGTCATTTCTTAAAGCATTGTGCTTTAAAACTTGACCCTATAAAAAGTGAAAGAGGGGCCTCCCCGGTGGCGCAGCGGTTGAGCGCTGGGCTGCGAAGCTGCCCGCAGCCTCTGCAGCGCCGGTTCGATCCCCGGCCGCTCCCCGGCCACCAGAGGAGGGTCCCACATGGCGCGCAGACCTCTCCTGCCGCCCGCTGCTCCCCTCAGCAGTGTCCTTCGGTCCCTCTGCCTGCTCTGCTCCCCTCTCTGGCTCTGGTGAGTTCTCTCACCCTCCCGCGCTTCTGACTGTACCCAGTGCTTGTATAAATAAATAAATAAATCTTTAAAAAAAAAATTTATAAAAAAAAAAAAAAAAAAGTGAAAGAGATGTAATAAACATCTTGAGGTTTCCCAGAAGGTCAAATTTTTCAAAGGTGACTCAGTCTGGATCCTAACAGCAAGCACTTCCAGACAATAGGATACTACTTGTAAGCCCAAGAACCAGATGCAAACACAATTAAGAGAGACTTTTGGTTACATGCTATCATCTCTTTTAGAGTTAGGCGAGATCTCTGATCCTCTAATTACTACTATTACAATGTTCTCTTTTTTTTTTTTTGTTTTTTTTTGTGGGACCCTTGCTGGTGGCCAGGGAACAAACCGGCGCTGCAGAGGCTGCAGGCAGCCTCGCAGCCCAGCGCTCAACCGCTGCGCCACCAGGGGAGGCCCATATTACAATGTTCTTTTAAAAAAGTGAAAAATCTACTGCTTGCATGGCCTGTAAGAACCACATATTGATAAATTTCCAACATAAAAGTGATATGTAAAAATGGGAATACAGCTGGAAAGAATTGTTCACAGAAAGGAAAAAAGGAAGTCACTGAAAGTGCTGGTTCCACCTCCCATGTGTTTATCGAGCTATCCATACCACTGGGGTCCAGGGGTTCTGACTCTCCTAGAATTCTGCTGCCATGAAATAAAGACTCCCAGAGGGTTCAGAGTAAGATGAAATAGAGGCTGAAAGTACGTATTTCTCTATTGTTTATATTATTAAAACAATTTTGCTGAGTTGAATTGTCATACAGATTAGAAACAAAAACAAGAAATGTTAACTTAAATGAACGTAGAAGTAGCAATCATTTTTATATTAAAGAACTGTGGGCCCCGCTGGTAGCCCAGCAGTTAAAGACATAGCACTGTCAAGCTATCATACGCCACTGAAGCCACTACAGCACGAGTTCAACCCCGTTCAATCCAGGGAGCTAAGCCAAATGGCGCCGCAGATCTCTCCTGTCTTACTGCTCACCTCGGCAGTGTATTTCAGTGAATCTGCCTGTTCTGTTCCCCACTCTGTCTCTGGTGAATCTTCTCACCCCCTGCACTTCTGGCCTACACCTTAGTTCTTGTATGCATAAATAAACAACTCTTAAAAAAAAAAAAAAAGAACTGTGCCCAGAACGTCAACATTAAGCATTTTTATTATTGTGTAGGTGGATAGATCCTATATTATTTATACTTAGCAATAAGTTAGCAAAACATGACAGCATACTAGGATTTAAGGTAGAGCACAAATGTATTATTCCAATGTGCCAATCAGTGAGAGGAACATTCTGAGATGGAGGATAGATATTGACTGACCCTTAGCCCAGTCTCTTGATAGGATAGTCACAAAAGACAACGGCATCATTTTAATTATAAAGAACAAATGGCATCAGACTTAGGAGGAACTCACAACTGTAGGTGTCAAATGAAACAAAGAGGATAGTAGATTCATTCTTGAGACACACTACTGCTAAGTCCCTTTACCACTGTGCTATAAAGTCAGAAATAAGAATGGCAAAGGCAGGACGATACAGATCCAGCACAACCTACAGATTTCACTCTATAAATCAGAGTTTCTCAATCTCAACACAAGTGATATTTTGATCAGATAATTTTTTGTGGTGGGAGTTGTCCTGTGGACTGTAGCACATTTAACTATACCCTGGCTTCCACTCCCTAGATGCCATTCCACTGCCCCAGTTGTGACAATCAAAAACATCTCTTGACATTGGGGGATAAATGTGCCCTAGGGGATAAAACCATCTCCAGTTCAGAGCTACTGCTCTAAATCATACTAAACTTGTACTGGATGGTGTATGTATATATGGAATTAAGTCTGAGCAAGCTAAAATATAATGTTGCATGAAAAAAAATTGCCTAAATGATATTACTAACAGAAAGAGGTTTCTTATGAGAACATATTCTGGACAAACTAGTGAAAAAGAAATTATGAGGGCGAGTTTCAGGAAAACTAACAACCTCACTCATTCTACAAATTAAATAATATTATATATATATGTTTATATCAGGAGAACTAAGCTTTAATTTTGCTTTGGTGACCCACAGTATGATATAATGTAGTGCTACAGAAAATCTCAATTGAGCTATTGCCAATATAAATAAATACTAATACATAATGCAATCTTTCTGAAACTAAAAAAGGACATAAAAACATTTTCCTCTTTAATAAAAAGATTCAGTTCATCTGAGAATAATTAAAAAATAAGTAGACATATATCTAATTATTCACTTGAGTGCAAAGTAAGACTTTTTTGTTGAGGTGACTATGCTAAAAATTTCTACTTTATACATGATTGTTACTTTATACATGATTTTATTAACCTCAAAGAACTTTTCAACTTTAGCTGCATAACTTTTCGACTTTACTCATTTCTGGGGGAAGGCAAGACAAGTATTCTAACATTGCTATATTCAAAACTTTTTTTTAAAAAAGATTTATGTATTTATGCATATAAGAACTGGGGTACAGGCCAGAGGTGTAGGGGGTAAGAGGATTCACCAGGGACAGAGTGGGGAACAGAACAGGCAGACTGACTGAAGTACACTGCTGAGGGGAGCAGCGGGTGAGGCAGGAGAGGTCTGCTGCGCCATGTGGATATCTCCCTGGCTGGGGATCGAACTCCTGCTGCAGTGGCTACAGAGAGCTTCATAGGTTGCATCTTAACCCCTTGCGCCACCAGGGAGGCCAGATATATTAAAAACTTTTATAAATTTGTATGTAAATTCCTTTCAGTTCTACAGGCACTTCATAGGAGGCACACTGAAGCAAACGTAACTATTTCCCTCTATTAAAAATTACGGGCCAAAAAAAAAAAAATTACGGGCCAAAAAATCCTTCCATCCTTTTATTGGGGATGCAAAAAGAAGTGGAGTTACAGAAATTTTCTTGACTAATTACTACTAAACATCTAAACTACACAAAAATAGTTATTAGTGTTCATTGAAGTTTATAGTGCAATCATGGCCAGGCAGGCATGCGTGATGTGGGGATATTAACAGAAGGAAGCAAGGCCGAGAGGCAAGGGGAGAAGCCCAGGTATATTAACGACACATTAGACAGTGTTACAGTACCTGACAGCCTGTGAGAGCAAGAAGAGTAAGAGAGACCAGGTAAGAGAGCGCTCACGGTGTGGAGGAGGAGCGGGACGCTTTTAGTGGCAGGCAAAGCCTCAGAAAGGTGGACACAGTTGCTGATAGACTGGCTTCGCTTAGCTTCCAGGAGAGATAAAGTAATAGTTATGTCAGAAGAACAACAGGATCTTTCACTTCTGATTATGATTATTATTATCACTACTACTACTATGGGTTCTCTTTAAATATCTAAAGGAGGTCATTTTAAACTTTAAAGGAATTACAAAGCACAGCCAACTTCAATTCAGTCATTCTGACGACACAGGAAAACGGACAATTCACCAATTATCAATCTTATTTTAAAATTTTTACATGCTTAGCCTTTCCTTTTTTCTGCTGGATATCAAATTCACATTGGGTTGTTTATTTGGGCAGACATTAAATCAGTTTTCCCTTCCTAAAAGACAAGAACAAAAAGAACTCAGGGAGAGAAGGAAAATCTAGTCTCAGGTTAAAATTTCTCTATAAAAATGAACAATTTAAAAGTCTACTGAGAGTTGACAACGTTCAAAACCAGATAATTTAGTAAATAAATATTCAGATTTGATATTTGAAAAAAGTAAAAATCTCCCTGAAACTCATCATTTTAGATCACATTTCATGCTTATTTAATCCATATTTTCTTAGACTGAACTTCATGATATTCGTAAGATTTCTATATACTGCTAGTTAAATGAATATTTGAGAAAGGATGGAGATAGAAGAGAATATGCCACATATGTAAATGCAAATATAACTACCATCAATAAAATCAGATTTTTCCTGAAAACAAAAATATAAAATTCTACTTGCTGTTTTAATATTTTTATGTGTTTTTTATTTCACATGAATAAAACAGAACTACAAACTAACTTTGTAAAAAGTGAAACAAATTGTTAACTTTTCTGACTCTTCTCCCATCCTTTGGTGATTAAAATTCCCTATTCTAATGGACTATCTGCAACACAATTACAGTATAATTCACTTATGTGCAAGATAATATTGAAGTGAAAACAACTTCCATGTCAGTGCCAAACTGATTTACTTCAAATTTCCTGAAAGGTTTCTTAACCTTTCACTGTCAAAAAAATTTTCATTCAAGTGTTGCTTTAAAAATTTTTCCTTCTATAAAAAAGAGTGCATTTTTTCAAAATTGATCACTGGGTATTTAAAAAATACAGAAAAATTATTCTGTGTGGAAATTAAGACTTCCTTTTATCTCTCGTTTTAGACATCTAAAATTTTAGCATCATTCACACTCAGGAACAGAGTTTTATTTTATAAGATTGTTCCTGACAGTCCCTATATGCTACAAACTAAAGCACTCCTTGTTAAATTTTATCTGTGTTAAATTACTATGCAAGTGCTTAATTTATATTTCATTCATGCCACCACTCCTGACATTTTCTCTCCCTCAGTGTAGTCTGTGCTGCATATCAAAATATTAAATTATTCTCTTACTTTAGGGAAAAAAGTCACTTTCAAATGGGTTTTCCATAATATACATCAAAAAACTAAAAGTAGCAATAACTACCTTCACGAGCTGCTGTTTTCTTATTAAAAGGTGATCTCTACACAAATCAAAATCTACCATAAAAATATTCTGGACTTTTTCTCTTTTTTTTAAAAGAAGAAAAGGTGAATTATTATACAATGTAAGAATAAGGTAACAGAGTAAAACTACTAATTGTTAGTTGTATAAATAAATCATATAAACAGCACGAGAAAAAAATCTTCAAAGACCATTGTATCTATAGGCAACAAAAAAGAAAGTATTTTAGAAATTTTAAGAATCTACAGTAACATAGGCAATATATATGTCTGTCCATACAAACATATGTGTAAAATACATGAAGATAACAGATCTGCCCACTGTCCAATTTGATAGTTCTTGCCTTATCATTTAAATGTCATGATTCCTAATGTTTTTTAAATTAATACTATAATGGCGAGATTTATGGTTTTTAGGTGACATACTTTAAAATACTTTATAGAATTTTATAAAATTGATTATTTTTGTAATACTATGGTTTTCACACACCTGAAAACACTGATAAACAGAAAATCACTGGTATAAATACATCAAGGATTTCCTAAAATATACCAATACCTGTACATTATTGGTTTACAATACTTGCTGAAAAAAGAAAGATGCAATCTCTCTAGGGCTGTACTTTGGCTAAGTAGTAGTGCATGGAACATGCATGCAATATACAATAATTTTCTGCTCATTAAAGTGTGGGAATAAAGCTTTTTAAAGTGTTTTTGAATGATCACTTTTATTATAACTGTAACTCAAGAACTATGAGGGAAAGCAAGAGCGTGGACATCTCAGGTGTGATGCCACCTTCATCACAAACTTTGTTCTGATCACTTTCCCTTAAGGATTCAGTGATGGGGAAAAGGAGTTTTTAGGAGTTAGAATGAAGAGGGAAATTGGTAACTAAGTCTACCCAAAGTATATGTTACTGGAAATAGACTCTCTCCTCAGGAGAGAGGATGAAGGAAAGCAGAATAGGAGGTTCATGTAAATAATGTGATAATTACCAATGAAAGTTATAGCAAAAAAGATATGAGGCAGTTAGGGTTAAGGTACATTTACATTAAAACTTTAACAGGATTATATGCCATCTGTCATTACTAAGCACTATAAAATGCTGAGCTTAAATGAACCTTTGATCTATGGCCAGAAGATCTTGTGATTTTTCTGAAGTTAACATGCGGAATGTCAATTACAAATGAATGGTATTATTGATGTGAAAGACTACAAGAAACTGAGGTAAATTTGTTTTAAACTTAAGTAATAATAGTCTCAAAACCAATGAATATAAACTTACTTTTTAAACACTAAATACTGAATGTAAACTTCCTTTATAAACATTTTTCTTTTTTTGTGTTAGGTATAAAATACAGGAAAGCAGTCCAATGAACTGTGATTTCTTGGTCAAGTTCTTGTTAATTCAAATAGTATGTAAGAATCACACCTACAAGCATGTAAAGCTCAATTTTCCAAAGCACAAAATATTAAAATGTCTCCATCCAGTCTTGAAAATTAAGTGCATCTTTTCCTTTTCGTTGCTGAAAGAGGTTGCTATACTCTTAAGATTAATATTGTTCAAAGACAACAACAGCACAACTAATTGTGAAATTATAAGAATCTCTTTTCTTCAAGGTTTAAACAAAACATCTATTTTCCCATTTTGCACAAATCTCTCAATATTAACACCCCAAGTTCTATTTTGTAACGGGAAGATTTAGAAATAAATATAAAAAAACCATAATTTGAAGAGTAACCAGAACAAAAGTTAAAAAGGTATACAGACATCTCATTTAATAAAATTTAAGCTCTGAGTAGAATTTTATAACATTTTATCCCTATAAATCCATTTTAGATAGCAACAAGACCTTTGAAAATATCTAAAATGTTTACCAGTGGCTTTTTGTCGAACAATATTTCTTGCTTTCTCAACTCCCGGTGCCCCAGATGTGGTGGCACTCCTAAATCTCATGGGCTCAGTCATATCTGGGTGGCTCCGCCAGCTGAGAGAAAAGGATCTCCCCACAGTAGTCCCTTTCTGAGAATCCAGAACACAACCTGGTAAAGGATAAGACAAAAAACAATAACCTAAAGGCTGAATTCATTACTATACATTTCATATCCTGTGTTGCTTGGCAAATGGCATACACAGCTACAATACAATCAGCTGATTCTCTTATTGAAAACTAGGTATCACTCTTTGTATTGCCATTTAGGAAGTTGTTCATATGTTAGTAATCCAAAACTTCCCAAATATCCAAGCATCTTCAACAGTCATGATAATTGTTTTCCACACATAGATTATACAATATTGTCTTTCTGTGCCTGACTTATTTCACTTAGTGTAATGCCTTCTAAGTACATTCATGTTGGCACAATTTTTTTCTTAATGGCTGAATTACATTCCTTTGTATATAAATGGTCATGTGCTGGGCCTCCCGGGTGGTGCAGTGGGTTGAACACAGTTTTGTGAAGCTGTCCACACCCTCTGCAGTGTGGGTTCGATTTCTGGCTGGCCAGGGAGATTCCCACACGGTGCGGCAGACCTCTCCTGTCACACCCGCTGCTCCCCTCAGCAGTGCTTTCAGTCCGTCTGCCTGTTCTGCTCCCCACTCTGTCTCTGGTGAATCCTCTCAATCTCCCGCACCTCTGGCCTGTACTCTAGCTATTGTATAAATAAAAAACATAAATCTTTAAAATAAATAGTTTTGTGCTGCATAACAACATTTTGGTCAACAATGGACCACATATATGACTGTGGTGCCAAAATTCCTATTGCCTAGTGTTATGTCTCACAGGAACAATAAGACTAGATGACCAGATCTTCTTCTAAGATGTCTCCTAAATTGCTATGTCAAAAAAATAGATAAGTTCTGTCTGGAGAATAACATACACTCCATGATATTCACACACAACAAAATTGCCTAAAGATGTATTTCTCAGAATACTCCCTGTGATTAAGTGATACATGACTGTGTATTACACTTTTTTATCCAGTGCACCATCAATGGACACTTATCTCCATGTTTTCACTATTGTAAACAATGCTGCAAATGAACATGAGAGTGCAGAAATATCTTCAACATAGTGTTTTTATTTTATTCAGGTATCTATGCACAAGTGGAAGTGCTGGATCATATAGTAGTTCTATTTTTTTGGGGGAGGGGGGTGTGCAAAACAGTTTTTATCTAGAAATACAACCAAGCCAAATGACTCCCATCTGAAGCATTCAGAAGTTTTCCATGTTCTCCAGGGAGGTAGCTGAACACATTTTAATAGTGGTGTGTCTTGAGTTGACTTGCCTGGTTTTGATTTCTGTCTTTACCACTTAGCTATGGAACTGTAAATAAGTCAATCACTGAGAACTATTTTTGTCTTTGTATAGTTTCTTTGTCTATTATATGGGACTAATAGTACCTACTTCATTGGTTACTATGATGGTAAAGAGAGATAATATGTACAAAGCGGTAGTCATTATTATTACTACTACTACTATTACCACTACTCTTACTACTGTTATTATACAACTCCTCCACTTCCTGCCATCTTCCACGGCCTCTTTAGAAAATGACCATCCTCATTAAGGGAAATAGTGCCATGAGACACAATCTGATGCCACCATTGAAAAAACACTGACTGTAAGACTGGTTCCGCTTATTATGATGTTTGTGGATAATAGTATAGCTATATAGTCTACATAATAGCCTAAGTAGGGCCTCCCCGGTGGCGCAGCGGTTGAGCGCTGGGTTGCGAAGCTGCGCGCGGCCTCTGCGGCGCCGGTTCGATCCCCGGCTGCTCCCCGGCCACCGGAGGAGGGTCCCACATGGCGCGCAGACCTCTCCTGCCGCCCGCTGCTCCCCTCAGCAGTGAACTTCGGTCCTTCTGCCTGTTCTGCTCCCTGCTCTGGCTCTGGTGAATTCTCTCACCCTCCCGTGCTTCTGACTGTACCCAGTGCTTGTATAAACAAAACAAACAAACAAACCAGCAAACAAATAAATAAAGCATGCCTCTATAAAAAAAAAAAAAATTTCTTTAAAAAAAAAAAAAATAGCCTAAGTATATATAATACACACTCCAGACATCTGGTGTTACACTGTAAGAGTTAAATACCTTTGCCTCGTTGCTTCCTTTCCTTTTGTTCACTTAATTTGTCCAGAGGTAGATTTGTCATCTCCACTCCATACACAGTTCTTGCGAGCACTGCAGTCAGAGAGTCCATAATGTTGGCCCACTCATTTATGAGTTCCTCCCATTCCGTAAGGGAGGACAGCACACCAAGAAAGTCATCCCAGAGTTCTCGTGAAATGTACACACAGAGGTTTGCTCGGATCCAAGCCACGATGAGAGTCTAAAACCAACCAACCAAAGAGAGAATTCAGTTGCCTTCATTGGGAAGTATTATCATTTTTAATAAGACATTTTAAATTAACATTATTAGTAAAATGAATTTTAAAATAAAGTGCTTTTGGAGCTTGTTTTTCTTTTAATTTCTCAAAATTCATTTGATATACTGTAATCAGAATTTGAGCTACTGTGAAATGGTATCATTGTAATCAAAGCTACTGATTCAAAATTATTATTCTACCTTGTGGTTGGTCTTGACTACAATAGGGGAGAAGACAAAGTTCTCTGTATAGCAACTATTCTGTTTCCTGAAACAGTTCTTTCCCTTATTCTCTATAGTGGTTATTTCAAACTTCCTCTTTTATATACATATACATATATATAAATCTCCAATTCCATTGACTCCTCCCGGATTCTTTGCAGAACCACTACAAATTTCAAAAGAAGAACAATCATAAAACAAGAACACCCATGAGACCTATGCACTCAGCCACCCCCTCCTCTACCTTCAGGCTATAAAGAGGGGCACCTACTCTTCCATACTTATCCACAGCTGTGTACAGGATCTTTTCCTCAGTCTTTGTTTCTATTAACCCCATCTCTATTTTATCTACAACTTACCATGTTTTCCTAGTTCCTCCCCATCAACATTTAAACATGCTCCTATCCTTCCTCTTCTTAAAAAAAGTTTCCTCGAACCCAGATTCTAGCTGGAATCCCCTTTCTTCCCCTTCCAAAGCCGAATTTCTTGAAAGAATATTCTACACTCACTCTACCTGCATTTCCCCATCTCCCAGTCAACCCATTACTCTCACTTTCTCCCTCCTTATGCCACTCCCCACTTATGCCTGGTTTTTGGTCTCCATTCTTATGGTTCCAGTTGTCATCTGTGTATTGTTGACTTCTGAATCTCCATGTTCACTCTTGATCCCTTTGCTGGTTTCCTGGCCTACTACCAGCTTATCAGATAGTCCTATATTATGCTCTGAAGGCATGTCTAACACTGCATAATAGTAAAGAGAACTAAATTTTTTCCATTGAGATTCTTCCAGTTCTTCAACCTTATCTCTCCTGCTACTGGCCTTTAGATACAATCTGCCTTTCCTCTCTTCCCTCCAATTTAACTTCCATTCTTTAGGTCACAACTTAAACATCACTTCCTCCAAGGTGTCCCTCAATACCATCATACCACAGTCCCAATAAGCAACCTCCTGACCCACAGTTCTCTGCGTTTCCCCCATCAGAACACTCATCACTCCTTTCCCTAATAGTCTCTTCATTATCCAGTGCTTTGTCTTATGTTCTATGACACTATAATGATCACATGGTCTACCCTGCAAGATAATTTTATGAATGTTCTGGATATTTCTTTATTTTGAAATTGTCCAGTGCCTTACCTCTGCCAAAATATTTCACATCCTTTAAAATTAAAATATATCTTCCCTCAAAGAAACACCAAATCCCTAGATAGCCACACCCATCTCAGATGAAGCCCAAATGCTTTTCTTAACCTTGGCAGAGAGAATAATTATATCTAAATCTCTGTAACTTCCCTGGATTTTCTATTAGAACTAAATGCACTTTTTAAGGTGCCAAATTAGGGGAAAAAAAAAAAAGGCCATCACTACTGACATGAGTTGTGCATGGGCTGGGGTAAATTTGCTTTTTAGTTTTTTCTCAAAAATTATATATATAACAAAAAACAAACATTTTTCTTATCACAGATATAGAAAAGCTTTGAGAAACTGAAAGCATTTTATAATTAAGCAGGTCTCTTCTAACCACTTGAAAATCATATTTAAAGTAGTATGCCTATTTGCTACTTTTCAATTCAAGCTTGCTGTTTTTATAGGGGTAAAATGTTTATTGAGTTGAAGTAGTTAAGTATATTGAAAACAAGATTTTTAATATTCAAACTTAAAATATGCTTCTAACATCAAAAATTGAAATTTTAAAAAATTAAGGATAATGCAAAGAAAAAATTAATTTTAATTATTGTTACTTTATACATATTTTCCAGCTTCTATTTTCACATTCCTTTCTTCAAAATGAGTTTGAGGTTGTGAATTGCATATGTGAAATAAAATGAATAAATATTAGATTAAAAATATAATCCTAGTAGAGTAAGAGAAATTAATCTCAGGATATCTCACAACTATGTATGCAGAAATGTTGAATCAGCATAATTAACAACTTTCACATACAGCAAAATCAGATTTCAGTTTGTGAGGGTGGTACCTTTGAACTTTGAGTGAGTTATCCTTCTCTGAAGAGGATGAGGAACAGAGAAAGTCCCAGACTCTTGGTTCTGTCACTAAGTTGGTTTGTGACCTGGGTAATTTATAATAGATTTTCTGGACTAACACTACAAATTAAAAATCAGAACCTGAAAAAGATTATTTCCAAGGTTCTTTCAGCACTGAAATTCATGCTTTATCAAATATATCTTGACACATAAGCTGTACAAAAAACACCTTAACTCATAAGTCAATACTTTTCTTACATACATTTCCTAACCAGCCACTTTCTATAGTTTTCTACTTACCACATGTAGGGCACTACAGAATTTTAAAGTAATAGCTCACACTATTTTAAATAGCTCATGTTTGGACCATCGTCTTTCCTGATATATCTTCAGGTTTCAAGCACAGGACAGAGTTAGCACTGATAACAGATTTAAAACATTATTAATGCAATCACCATTATTTGGTATATATTTAAAACTAAGTAAAACTCCACTATCATTTGAAGAGAATTTGCTAACTCACGTTATCTACTGATGCCTAAGGAAAAAATTAGAAAAAGATCAAAGGATAATAACAGCTTAAAATTTCCTGTCTTCTCAAATAGTCTCCCTATTCAAATTTTTAAAAATCAAGTATCTGGCAATTGTAGACAATCTACATGACAAATGAATAATGATTAGATGGCACATTTTAATTTTAGTATGGGACTAAGATGATGCTCATTTGATTAAACAGCACATCTGTCCAGACCTTTCACACTTCCCCTCATCCTGGATCTCATAAAACAAACTGGGAAGTTAACAGATGATCATAAATCCCAAATGAATCCTCTCTGATTCTTATGACAACTTTGCAAGATAGGAAGGAATTCTTTCCTGATTGTGACAGATTAGGGAAGAGACTCAGAAAGATGAAGTGATTTGCTCAAGGTCACAAGGCCAGAAAGTATCAGAACTCAAAGTCTGCCTAACTCCAGTAAGAATCAGAGCTCACTTAGCAGGAATCTAGAAAACTTAAATAAGGGACCAGGAAAAAGAATAACTATAAGAAAGAAAATATCAAAATCAACAAACAACTACGAACCAGAGACACTCTATGGGGGATGGGGGATGGGGAAAGGAGGGCTTGGGGTAAAAATAAGGGGATTGTAATTGTATGGGGAATATAAAAATAAAATTTAAATTAAAAAAAAAAAAAGAACCAGAGCGCAGAATCTAACTCCAAAAAGCTCATCTGCTTTTTACTATTTTATAGTTAATTCTTAATTTAAGCATTCTTCTTGATATATCCCACATGGCCAAAATAGTAACAACACTGAAATTATTAGAATCATGGACTCAAGTAATCTTTAATATCTGGCAAGATTCCTCTTTTAATGAGAATATTCTACCTCCCCAACCCCCAACCGAAAACCAACCAAATAACAAAACTCCAGAATAGATTTTTAATTTAATGACAAGTTCTCATTCCACTTTCAACACACACAACAGGTGGAGGGCCAGTCAACTGGTGAGGAATGAAGTCCAACCAGTCTGAACCTGGCTTCAGTCTATGCCACTAGGCACCTCAATTTATTCATGACTGGAAGCTTGCAAAGGCACCTATGGTGAGCACTCCATGAAAAGCAGAACAAAGTGAGCAGTGTCTACATGCCCGCGCAGGTAGTAAAGCAGTGGTCAGCACTACCCTCTAGACAAGAGCATAGAAGAGTTGGATTTATGCAAAAGATGTATAGAAACACTTCGTACATCCAATAACAAGGTAAGGCAATCAAAGTGAAAGTGATTAGCATATTCAGGAGGCAAGTGAGTACATGCCAAGTATTTCTGCAGCCTCTCATACATTTTTCATCAAGTCAAGATCATTCAATCAAATTACATTACTAAAAAGTGACAGCTATGTTCTCTTGTATTATAATGGGAATATTTAACTTTATTCAAAGAACTAATTTACCTTTTTGTTACCTTCACCTATATATTCTACCTGTATTCTAGACATGCTTTTAGTTGATACTTTCCAAAATCACCTGAAAGACAACTGAGGAGATTCATTAGTTTCTCTTCCCTGCAATTACCACTTCTGGTCTTCATCTACCATGCCTTCTCCTGTCAAATTATACAAAGTCAGGACCATCCATTGTAATTCCTTGATTTGTGTAGAATCTCACATTTTTCCCACAGTCGTGTACACTAATCTCTTTCAAAAATGTCACATAAATTCTATGTATACTATAAATATGAATGCTTTCCAAAGAAATGTTGCAATAGACCTCCTCTCTCAGAACCAGTTAAAACTTCTACTTCTCAGGCAGTATTTCATCATCGGCTTTTCTCTCCCTCTGAAGGCAGTATCAGACTACACATATTCTTGATCCTTCTTACCATGAGAGATGTGAGAAAAACAATCATCTCCTTGGCTTTTTGTTCCCACTGAAGGCCAGTCAAGTCCTCCTCACCTTATTTCCCCTTCCCCAACCCCTTCTTGTTTTCCATTAGTAGACATACAATCCCCACTGACGTGCCCTCCATGTAAACTGCCCTCTCCAACCACTTCTCCTTTTTCCTGTTCCCTTCTATATAGCAAGCAACATCTCTGCAAAGTTTTCACTATACTTGCTACCTCCACTGCCAGGCTCACATTTTCTCCTCTGTCCACTCCAGCTGCACTCATTCCCCTAGAATATTCTCAATCACCTACATTTTTTCAAAGTGAACAATCCAATGGCCACTCCCCTCATACCCAACCCTCCTCTCCATGCATCCAAGAGACTTGCTCTTCTAGTTACCCTCTGAGCTCACTGACCAAACTTTCTCAGCAGCCTTGACTGACTCTTCCTCTACCAAGCACGAGCATGGAGACGGTCCTCTTCTATGACACATATTCTCTCCCTAAGTAATTCCATCCAGTCTTATGGCTTTAAACAAAACTGTCCATCATACCAAAAGCTCTCACATTTTCATTTCTAGCCTGACTGTTCCTGGACTTTATTCTTATTCCAATGCTTCTGTTCATCCTTCACATCTTGAAATCTACCAAGGCTATCGGTTCTTTTCATCTTCCTTATTTCTACCAACGTCAAGCAAGTCAAAAGAGGAAGCATATAGGCAGCAGAAAGGTGTGAAGGTAACAAAAATATAAATGAGGTTTTTGAATAAAGCAAAATATTCCCATTATAACACTTGAGAACACAACTATCACGTGGTAAGAAGAGTCAAGAAAATGAATAACCTGATATTGTATTGAGAGGGACAGAAAGGCAGACCTGAAAAAAAGCCTGGCACTAGTAGCAAAACATAAATAGCAATGTTCAAGAGAAAGTCAAAAAGGAAAATTTCTTTTTTTTTTTTTAAGGTTTATTTTTTATTTGTACAATAGCTGGGGTATGGGCCAGAGGCACAGGAGGGAGAGAGTATTCACCAGAGACAAAGTGGGGAGCAGAACAGGCAGACGGACCAAAAGCACTGCTGAAGGGAGCAGCAGACGCGACAGGAGAGGTCTGCTGTGCCATGTGGGAATCTCGCTGGCAGGCCGGGAATCGAACCCATGCTGCAGACAGCTTCACAGTGCCATGCTCAACCCACTGCGCTACTAGGGAGGCGCAAGAAGGAAAATTTCTTATTAAATTTCTAAAAATTTAAAGCTAAATTTTACTCTTAAAAATTCTCAGTGACTAAAACTAATTTGCTGTAAAAATCTGATTCATTTCTTGCATATGCAGTGTTTTAATAAAAAAGACTTACCCTGAACAGTAACCCTGCCAAGCTCTGGGCAAACAAGTCCTTTATTTGTTTATCCTTTGGCTTCTGCATGACAGCTTCTGTTATCCTGAGTAGTATTTGCAACATCTGTTCCCTGTAACATCACCCAAAATAAAAGCTCATATTATTAATCACATCTCCAAATCACTCTAATTTATAGGTAGAAGAAATTCTCTTAAGAATCCAGCAACATCAATAGTCATGTACTACTCCAAAGTATTAAAAATATGAGTGCCAGTTACATAATTAATATCTTATTTAATCAAAATAAGCTACCCTATGTTACTACAGTTATAAAAATATTCTACACTAACAGACAGGATAAAAAGGTATTATCACACCCTGATTTTTTTCCCACCCTTGTAAAAAGGGAGGCAAGATTGTTTTCTCCATCTGTACCAGTTCATAAAGGCACTAATTGAAGAGGTCTACCTATCTAAACTTATATAGCACTCTTTACCTTTCTACACCCATTATTTTTCTTAACCTCTGAATCTATCTTTGTGATAGAGAATAGAACTGGTATTTTTCTTCACTTGTGGGTAGATATGAGTCAGTAAGATAGTGTGACCTGCCACAGATAGGACAGCCGATGAAGTTCTCAGCCATTACCGAAGACTTAGAGTCTAAATGAATTTGCAGTGGGCGGAAGCTGGGGAGAGTGCCATCGAGAGCAGCTCTGCCTTTCACCCGCCCAGCCCAAGTTTTTATTGAAGATATGAACAAAGGAACACGAAAATAGCATGCAATTGTGTTTTTGCTTATACAGATTAATAAATTACTGCTGAAAACAAGTTTTCCTGGTTAGTAGGAAATATGCACACAAGCCAGTAAGTACATCCTCAGAGAACAGGAGTCAATTCTGGGAAGAAGTTCTGTTTGCAGAACTTCTAATGTCCTGGAACTCGTATGCAGAGTAAACAGGTATTCTCCAAAAACCCCAGCTCTATTTAGGGCAGCAGGCTCCCAACAGTGACCAAGCTCCACATTGCCCTCACAGATAGGAGGGTTTGGTCTGGTCACCAATGGAAACTTAAGACGCATGGAGCTTGTGCCTTGCAGAAGGGGGTTTTATGTAAAAGATCTTTTGAATATTATAAAACATTGGAGAAAACAAATAACACTGTTGATTATTATAACAGTAATAAGTTCTACAGAGCAGCCATAGGGCATTTTTCTTTCTCATAACTGAGTTATATTCTTAAATCTTTTGCTGGATTCCATGCAAAGAACACATTATTTATATATATATCTATTTGGTTTCCAAGAGAAATCACCACAGTTCCTTTTAACTTCTCCTTTGAGGCCTTACAGACAAATTATTCACTCATCTTTATAACTTTCTCCTAAGCTTTCCTGTTCTTTGGTGATAAAAACAAAAATTAAACAAAATAACCTAGTCCAGGCAGATGATGAGATTGCTAAATCATAGTTACTTTATGCTTTGCTCATATCTCTGCATGTCAGAATAGGGTTTTTTTTTTTCTTATATGACACTGAATCTCATTAAACTTCTCAAGGTATTTAATGACCTCTGGGGATTTCCCACCCAATCATTAGCTGAACTCACTTGATTTTCATTCTGAGGTTATCTGTTGGTATCCACTCTCAGTGTACTCTGTCTTACTTGTTTATGTGTTCCTATACACTGTCTATGAATTTTGGAAGCAAGTGAGAAGAATAACCAAATCATGGGAAACCTGAGCACCTATGCATGGAGCAGAGAGTGCAAATGAAGAGGAGAATGAAGGAAGAAAAGGCACAGATTTGGGGAAAGTCCTATTTACCATAGGTCTCTAAGACCCTGTCACAGTGGAGGGAAGGACAGTACCCAGTGTCACCACTGCCTGCTCACATTACATGATGTTTTTAAGACAACAAAAAAATGACCCCTTTCACATGAGTGGTAACGTACCACCACCAGTGCGCCTCCCCCCCAATCCCAGCTCAAGTACATGTGATGGAGTAAGAGATAATATTTTTTTACACATTTTTTACATCATTTTTCATTTTTGCACAATGTATGCATTTTCATCTTAGCTATAGTCCCCATACAATTCCCAACCTCCATGTTTTATAGCAACATGGATGGAGCTGGAAGGGATCATGCTCAGTGAAATAAGCCAGAAAGAAAAAGAAAAATACTGGATGGTCTCACTCATAGCAGGAATTTAGAAAACCTAAATAAGGGACCAGGAAAAAAACCTAATTATAATAAAGTAAAAATCAAAATCAACAAGAGATATAATAATTTTTGCAGAAACCTTGGTCACGGAAACTGCTCTCAAAAAATGCAAACGTGACTGAAGCAATGACTAACAGAGCCAAAGGATCAATTCAATTTCTAAACATATAAAAAAGCTTGGAAAGCCATGAAATCCCATGCAGAATCTTCTGGAAGAAAATGGGGTAAAAAAAGGTCTCTAATTTGGAAAAATCTTTACAGTTTGACATCAGCTTATCCCTTTCCATTTTTGTGAAATGTTAACTTTTGGGAGTAAAACAAACTTCTATTGGAGCACATGAATCAGCCTATCTGCTAACCTAGGATTTTCCTGCCTTCTTTATTATTTCCTTTGTCTTCACCTTCTCACATAGATGGTATTGTTTCTCATTCACATACTAATTACTCACTCTTAGAACTTCCCTGGTTACGGACCTGGTCTAAGTCACCATGGTTTATAACCGCAGACTGTGTTCCACCACACTGTGTCTTCTCTACACTGCTGCCACGGAGATCTTTTGGAATTTTAAGATGGACTGTGAGGAAGAAAGCCGCCGAAGGACAGGAATCTTGTCTGTCTAGTTCACTCTCTATCCTTATAGCAAAAGCTTCTGGGGTTACTCAGTGGATGAAAGGAAGACAAGTAAGAGAGGAATAGAGGGAATTCAGGAATTGTCTGAGACAAAAATACATGAAATCTACTAGAGAAACAGCTCCACTGACTATAATCAGCTCCACTTCTATAATCCTTTTCATGTTTTTACATGGAATTCTCTGAATTACTGAAAAACAGAGAATTTTATTTCCTAGAATTTTCATCCAAAAAGATTACTAAAAATACAGTATTATTGATACAATGGTGTATAGAATTCACAGTTTTCAAAAAAGAACATCATAAATATTATTGCTTCAAGTCTGGTATGGAGAAGCAGACATTTCAGTTGAAAGTATATGAGCATCTCTCGTTATTTTCACTATTACTGATGCAGTATTACTCTTTATTAAAGCATAGTGCTCATTGAGATAATGTTTTCATCTGTAACAAATGCTTCTTGGCAAATAATGCAAAGTTTAAAAGTCTGGGAAATGTGACCTTGGAATTTATATCTTAAAATAATAATTTGATACTTGAGATTTCTGTATCAGTGAACTTTTCTGCACAACAGGATTCTTCTGGGCCCACATTTCTCTCATCTCTGAAAGAAAAGGGCTGAGGTAAATGACCCAGAAGCCCTTGTCAAGTCAGTCCCACCTCATTTCTATGATTTCTAGCAATTACTGACAGATTCCTAAGGTACACTGAAGTACTGCCTGGAAGGTGTCCAGAAAAGGCAACCAGAACACACATGTGCAATGGTGACCCTGAGGACTACTTGTAGGGAGGGCACCACCAGCACTGGTCTGGAGGAATTTCAGTGGACTAAGAGCCAAGGTAAAAATCACTGAACAGCTAGGTGAGTGAGAATCGAAGATGGGTGGGAAGAACATGCAAAGGACTCAAGAGGAATTTCAAAGGCAGAAAGTAGACACAGACTCCCAAGGAGTACAAAGTGCCTTTACGGCACTTTGGTCTGTTGCTGAGAACCTCTGAATGCACCTCCTAGAATGCAGGGATTCATTATGGGAGAAGGATACTGCTTCTCTTTAGGGATACAGAAACACAAAACTAAGGATAAAAAGGAAAATATATAAGCCAATCTTAATGATGCCATTATATTTTTGAATGCACTATTTATTTAGTCCCTAACAATTTATCATTTAAAGTAACTTTTTCCAAAACAGATTTTAAGCTTGAAGTTTGAAGCAATAAAAATCAGTTAACAGTACTTTGGAATAATTAAACTCATCTAGGCCTATAAAGAATGATAATATAAAACACCAGTTACTGCATTTTAATTATGACAGTTAAAAATGGGAAAACCCTACTATTAAGTAATATTACTCATAATTCAAGAACATTTTTTAAAACCAACAATGAAAATAAGCAAAGTACTGAATACTTACCTTCTACATAAATCACAGAAACTGTACAAAAGACGGTTATCATCTTATTGTTAATTTTGTAAAGCCATTTAATAAATGGAGTCTTTAGCATTTTAATTATTATGTTGAAAAACATTTGATTTATATTATTAATTTGAAATAAACTCACCATGTCTTTTTATTCATTGTAAGCTCCATTATCATGCGCCTAAAAATAATCAAAACAGCTTTACAAGCATCAACTTGTTCTTTCAAGAGCATAGGGACTTCAGCACAAGGCTCCAGCAAAAAGACGTTTGCAGCATTTGTCAAAAATACCTTAAAATCAACAAATTTTACATTAGAAAATATAATTAAACATATAAAATTGAAAAAATTTGCTTAAAGATAATAAAAATTTTATTCTACCAAAGAATTACCTTAACTGACATTTTAATTAATGTAGTATTAATACATTATATACAAGATTTCTTTTAGTTCACCACTTAGAATCACTTTAAATATATCTAAAAGAACCTTTTTAGAAAAAAAAATACTATTACCTATTAATATTGCAATTTAATAAATTTTATGCGTCAGAAGAGTTTTTGAAGACCTTTTCTTTACAGCTCAAAAAAAGGAAGAATGGTAAAAAAGATAACAGGATCACTGTCTCTGGATGAAAAACTTTGAGATGATGGCCAAGGAGGCAAAGACTACAGGGATGACCACAGGGAGCTGTGGTCACAGAGTGGCTGGAAAAAACTAGCTGACTAATGTTGACTCTCCCGGCACAGACAATTTGCTGACAGGACATGCAGCTACACACTCAGTAAGGGTGTGGTGCAGCGGTGTGCCAAGAAATAGTCAAAGCCTCACTGTTGACACTGTACATCTTCCAGAAGCAAATATTTTTAATATGATAAATATATAGTGGAATGCAAATCTAAAGTGAATTCTTAAGATAAAAACTAAAATTTAAAAGAAAATCTGATAATAAGCTGACTAAGGTCTGCCTGAGACCTTCAGAATACAAGTTCATTGTCCTTTATTATCAGGGGTATCACAGAATAAAATTGTGGGAAGCACTACCAGGGTATGGTAAGTTACTGCTTAGGGGTACAATCATAAAATAACAATGTATTACCATTTACATAGATGACACAAGTGATTCCCTCCAATTTGAGTATTCTAAATCTGCTCCATCTATCTAGAAATAAAGTCTCTTTTCTGTTCAAATGTACAAACAAAAAGAGTATGAGAACAGAGTTTCTCTGGCTCATTTGTGCATGAAATCCATTACAACATTTTAAAACAGATGCACAGATAGGAAAAATTAAACTAACATACTCAAAAGTAAAATGTTGACAGGACCAGGAAAATGAATATAAGAAAGTGAAAATCAAAATCAACAAAAACTATGAACCAGAGACACTTTTTGGGGGGTGGCGGGCGGGAGGGGAAGGATTGGGGTCAGAATGGGGCGTTTGCAATTGTATGGGGGAATATAAAAATAAAATTTAATATTTGAAAAAAAAAAAAAAAAAAAAAGGAATGAACGAATGTCAAACAATAATAATAATAAAAATAATAGTAATTATTGAAAAAAAAAAAAAAAGACTATCTTATGTAAGATTTAAAAGTCCCATTTTCTAGAAGTTATTAAATAAGTACTATAGTAGTAATATATGATGACAGCAATTATGAAGTATGTACTAGCCTTGCAGTAAGAAAAAAAGAAATAACTTTCTGACTAACAAACTGTAGATAATTTCTCTATCCCCATTTCTGAGACAAATCCTGAGGTCTGAAGTGATTAAATTAATGAGTCAAAGTTGTTCTTTCCAATCTTCCTATATGCTATTGGTTCTACTTAATATAGTTGTTTAAATAAACATCTAAATATTAGTATGTTAATCATCATTCTTTATAAACACAGGCAATTTTTAAATGAATCCAAGATACATATAATAATCACCAAGCAAGGCTTGCAAATTAGAATCCAGGAAACCAGCTACCCATATGTGTTCGTAAGATATTTTTAATTTTTAATTAAAAAAAAAAGGTTTAAATCTCAGTCATTTCACTTTCACTGCATAATAATTCTCCTCTTTGACCAGAAAATCCTTTTCTTTGAGTAGAAAAAAAAAATTTACCAACTGCAGCAGGGAAATCAGTAAAAAAAAAAAAAAAAAAAAAAGAATGAAAATTTAACAGCTATTTACTGGCAGATAGTAAAAGATCAGCCTATTTACATGATGTTATCCCCAGTAAACAAAATGTTCAAAATGACTCCAGTTGGAGCCTTCATGTCTCCAGCCAGCCATGTACCTGCAACATCGCCTGTGCCCCAGCTTTCACATTCTTATTTTCCTCTTCGGTCACACAGCCTCTGCTCACTGCACTGGTGAAAGAGTATGTTCGTCCCCAACTAGAAGAGCGTTTATGACCGAAACTTTCAGAAGAAGTCTTCAGAAAATAACAATCAGTTAACAAGTGGGAAGAAACAACTGCATATATTTAATTCCTTACATTGACCAGAATTCATAAGAATGTAAGCTCTAGGAGAGCAAATCATTTTCCATTTTGTTTACCATTCTATCTCTAGCACTTAAAACAGCGTTTATCAGCACTTAGTATGTACTATAAGTAATGTTCATCCAAGGGCTGAGGATGTAACTTAGACTTTCCAAATATGTGATAAATTGCATGGGCAATTTGACCTCAAGACCAGTTACTGAAATGATTTCACCAATAGTGAAAAAACCACATTTATGGAATGAATACAGGTATTTAAAACTGACAAGCTTTTTCTCACAAATATTTTAAAAGTTTGCTGGTAATTGCTAAGACAAATAACTGCTTTTAGAAGTAATTTAACAGATTAAATTTCAAGATAGTAATACATATGACAAGTTTCTTTTATGTTTCAGAAAGAGGAGCACTCTGTTGTTGTTGATTTATCTGGCCTCCAACTTTGCCTAACACAGGCTAACAGGTCCATCATAATAGCACTCACTCTCCAAGGACACCGCCCAGCACTGTAGTGAGGCTTAAGTGGAGACTATATTTTATTTGCTGCTAGGTTAGTCTTTTCAAATATGTAACAACCCCACATCTTTGATACATGTCACTCAGTGAGAAAAGTCTGCCCAAACTTCTAAATTTAGTTTCTCAAATGCTATTTATTTAAACATGTCAACAATAAGGAAGTAATATTTTTCAGTCTCATTCAGAGAAGTCTAAAATATGATTTATTAAACAACCCCCATGTGATAGCAAAGAACGGATCAAAGCTGCAATGCACGCATGTCCCTCATACCGTGTCTAGAAGATGACCGCTGACCCTGCCGAGACCACAGAAGCAGACCTGCCTGCTGGTACCCACTGACTAGGCCCTTGACTTAGCAGACATGCTTCCCTAACATATGTATGACTGCCAATTCCAACGAGTAATATATTACCTCCTTGCTATCAGTCTCCGAAAAACCTAATTTCTCAGCATCTTCTTGGGCAACATCTTTTTTATCCGGTTCCTCCATGAACACAGGTTTGTCCTGGAGGATCCACTTTCTGTACACTTGAACCACTTTTCTTGTTACAGCTATGTCACAGGAAGGCAACAGGAAGGCCTAAAATGAAAAAAAGAAAACTCCCTTTAATTCTATACAAGCTTAAATCACCAGACAGCCACTTAACACACATTTCCAATGACCATCACTCATTTCAGGGTTTCCTTTGAAAGAGTTTGTGGACACTATATAGGGCCACATATTTTTGTGCACATCAAATTTATCTGAGGAAAAATGTTGTCATAATTGGGCCAGAAAACATAATGTAATTTAAAAATAACTTCTGGGTTCTGAATAACTTTACCAGAAAAATAACCGAAAGGCATACCTATACAGATACTTTAATTGGCCATATAAACAACACTAATTGCACAACTTGGAAATTTTCCCAATAAATCAGAAATATATTTTAAGATAACAGACTTACTGGTACAACCCTCTGAACATTTCAGTTTTCATAACACTGATTAGTATTCAAATTTTATTTGGCATTAGGTAAAATTTGTAAAATGAAATGCACAAATCTTAAGAGAACCATCTGATGAATTTTGACAAATATAGGTAACTATGTAACCTAAATCCACTATAAGAGAAACTATGTAATCCTTCCCTCAGAAAATAAATATAAATTCTCCTGGAAGAAAATAAAATCATAGTAAAGCCAGAATTATTTCTACAAACTGCCTGGTTAATGTGACATGCTGCACATTAACTCAGAAATATGAGAAGTCAATATGAATAAATCCACAATAAAAATCAACAAAAGTTAAAAAACAAAGAGGAGAAACCTTATTTGAAGAAAGACTAAGAATTTTGCCAAAACTGACAAGATACCAATCCACAGATTTAAAGAATCGGAAAGAAACCCAAGCAGAACAAGTACAAAGCATATATAGTAAGACTGCCAAAAATCAGAGATAATAAAAAATCTTAAAAGATGTAAAATATATAAAGAAATTATATATATTTTAGAAAAAGATGTCAGAGGGAAAGAGATATTTCCTCCAAAGGAGCAACCACATGACCTAACATACTTCCCAAAAAAAAAAAAAAAATACTGGAAGCCAAAAAGAATGGAACAAAGTGCAGAAAGAAAACAGCTGCCAATGTAGAATTCAACATCCAGAAAGAATACACTTCAAAATGAAAGCAAAATAGTTACTTTCAGATAAGAAAAAGTGAGACAATTGTTACCAAGAGATCTGGTCTAAGAAAAATACTAAAGTATTCTTTAGGGAGAAGCAAAAATAATTCCAGGTTCTAGAAATACAGAAAGGAATAAACTGCAACAAAAAGTGCAATTACTTGGATAAATCTAAATAAATAAAATATATGTGAACAAAAAGGATAAAACTGGGCAAAACACAGTTGGTCCAAAAGATATATACATATAAACATATACAATGTAGGTGTAATGTGTATATATAAAAAATATATATTCATAATATAGAAAAACCAATCAAAGGATCAGAAAGAGACAAATTTTAAAACCAAACCCTGAAAGAAAATCATAGATCTGTAACTTTTAACAGATGAGGGGCGAGAATGGGGGGCTATGGGAAAGGGACCCAGCACAATGGTGGAGGACTACAGGTACATTAGTGATGGGAATGCCATGATGAATACACCTAAACTGTCAAAACATTAGCGATGGTATGAAACAATTTAAGATAGGGATGTTCTCATTTTCCCTTCACATATGAGCAGCAATTTAGTTTGGCATTATAATTTTAGGTCATTCTTCCACCTAGGAATTTATAAATATATACATACACACACACACACACACACACACATTTTATTTTACATCACTGTTCATTTTTGTACAATGTATGCTTGTATGCTCTTTCCTCTGAGGTGTAATCCCTGTAAAATTCCCACCACCAATTCACCCATGAACCATCACCACAGTCCCTTGTGCTCTTCCTGCCCCTGTTTTGATCCCTCTGCCTCCTTCTCCCTTGCAGAATGTCTGATTTATAGTTGCCTGCTAATTCTGGCTTGTTTTATTTTTAAGTTAAAACTTTTCTAAACATACAAATCAGAAGAAGCAGGAAAAGCTACAAGGGCTTCAGATATACAACAGAGACTTTAGAATGACTTTTATTTCTTATTTAAAGAAATAAAAGACAAGTTTGAAAGTGTAGGAAAAAAGAAACTGTAACAGATGACTAAGCAGATCTGAATAGGAATAAAATAGAACATCTATAAAAGACACCTTGAAAACACCTCTCAATAACAAAAGGAGGTAAGCCAAGAAGTCAATCAAAGCAAGTATTTTAGGACTCTGAACAGGAGGAGAAACTAATCTATCTAAAGATAGAACCAAGACTAAACTGTGAACACTAGGATTCCAAAATGACTGCAAAATATAGATTTATAACATAATGAAATCAGATGAGGAGAGGAGGCTGAAGAAAATACAAGGCTGCTAATCTCTTTGTATTTCACAAGAAATCAACAAATACTATCTAAATTACAACATGTAATTAAAAAGTAACTTCGGTACCTTACTGTAATTTTTTTTAAAGATTTATTTTATTTATTTATGTATACAAGAACTAGATGTAGGCCAGCGGTACAGGGGGAGGGAGTGAGAAGATTCACCAGAGACAGAGTAGGGAACAGAACAGGCAGATCTACTGAAATACACTGCTGAGGGGAGCAGCGGGAGAGACAGGAGAGGTCTGCTGTGCCATGTGGGTTAGCTCCCTGGCTAGGAATCGAACTCATGCTGCACTGGCTGGGAATAGCTTGATAGTGCTGAGACTTAACTCCTTTCAGCATCAGGGAGGTCCACCTTAATGTAAATTATAACCTTATTATAGACAAATATTTTAGCAATTAATATTTCTTGTGGCAAATGAATGTTTATTTGAATTTTAACAATTCCTTCAGTTCACTTTATTTTCTTGTCATCTGCTAAATTCAAGTAAAATGAAATTCAGAACTATTTATTAAAAATGTACTAAAGAATTAAAATTTAGGTCAAAAAATGGGCAGAAGAGCTAAAAAAACACTTCTCCAAAGAGGGAATGCAAATGTCCAACAGGTATATGAAAAAATGTTCAACATCCCTTAAACTGAGTAAACCTCTATCTGGTTTTGCCTTTTCCTGTTTTTGTCTGTCCGCTTGTCCATCTATATACCTGCCTACCAAATCCTAACTCTGTGTAAAACTATCCACCCATATAGCTATTCCTCCCTGTTTATTTACAACTCCTCTAGCTTGCCTATCTTTTTTTTTTATTTTACATATTTTTTACATCATTTTTCATTTTTGCACAATGTATGCATTTTCATCTTGGTTATAGTCCCCATACAATTACCACCACCCTTGTTTTGATCCTACTCTCTTCTCCCCCCACTCTCCCCCCTGAGTGTGTCTCTGGTTTATAGTTGCTTGTTGATTTTGATTTTTATTATAGTCTTTTTTCTGATCCCTTATTTAGGTTTTCTAAATTCCTGCTATGACTGAGACCATCCAGTATTTTTCTTTTTCTTTCTGGCTTATTTCACTGAGCATGATCCCTTCCAGCTCCATCCAAGTTGCCGCAAATTGCATGAGTTTATCTTTTTTGATTGCTGAGTAATATTCCATTGTGTATATGTACCACATCTTCATGATCCAGTCATCTATCTTTACCCACCTGACTACTCTATGCCTGCCTATCAATTTATTGTCTATCAACTCAGTGAAAATGTCCCTGTCTGTCTGCCAACCTGCATTCTGTCTGTTTACATCATGTCCTACCATCTCCTTTCTGCTGATCTCTCACTAACCTTCCAGTTCGCAAGGCCAGTAGCTATATGGACATAAAGACTACCTAGAATGGTACTCCCCTGACCTTAATAGCAGTTACTAAGATGGTAGTGCTTGAGTGACTTGCTTTTGCTTTCTCCTCTAGTTACAGTCTCTATTAAACTAATGAATGTTATCTTATTTAAAAAAACAACAACAAAGTTGTTCTTTAAAGGAAAACCTAATGCTCCTTTAGAGCAGTGCATCAAACTTTTCACATCATAAGCTAAGACATTTTTCTGAATATATACATTGGTATATATAGAATGTACATAAATAAATCGGAAGTTAACCAAAGAAATATAATCCTTGCCATATTCACTGCACTGTGAAATGCTTTGTTTTATTCTATTTCATTTCATTATTTTTTTAAAAAAAAACTAGTTTTGACTAATAAATCACAACAGGTAGTCTGAAAAACACAAATTAGAAGAAATTTTCCAGTGGAAGGAGCCAGGGACCAGAACTGCAATACCCACAGCCCTCTACCACCACCTATCTTACCCACTGAAGGTAGCAGTTGATTGAGGCTGTCCTCAGTTTTGTCAAATCTTGTCTTCCTTCAGTTACTATCTATTTCTACTACCTTAAACTCACTACACCATCCACGGTGAGTGAACCGTCATCAGCATTTATTCCCTCTTCTCCCACCTGGACATCTGCTATCTGCTGTTTTGTACTGTTCTCTGGTGCACACATGCATCCTATTTCCCCACTGAAAATGTGCAAGTACTGAATATATATTTTAAACTTTAATAATCTTTAGGTTTAAAAAGTCTCTGAATAATTTTAAAATTAAAAAAGATTGTTTTTTTGGTCCCTCCCCACCTCTGAAAAAGAAATTGTTAATGTAAGTTCCATAAAAGAAAAATGCATCCTTGATCAAGAGAGGCCAATAGAAAACAATGCTAAACCCCATGTCCTTTTCCCGAATATTTCTATTTCAGCATTTTAACAATACCCAGTACTTACATTTTAAATTTCATATACAGATTTCAAATTAACTTAAGAATTACTAAATGTAAATAATTTATTTTTTATTTTTTTATTTTTATATTCCCCATACAATTGCAACTCCCTTATTTTGACCCCAACCCCTCCCCTCTCACCCCCTACCCCCCATAGAGTGTCTCTGGTTCATAGTTTTTTGTTGATTTTGATTTTCACTTTCTTATAGTTATTCATTTTCCTGGTCCTTTATTTAAGTTTTCTAGATTCCTGCTATGAGTGAGACCATCCAGTATTTTTCTTTTTCTTTCTGGCTTATTTTGCTGAGCATGATCCCTTCCAGCGCCATCCATGTTGCTGCAAATTTCATGTGTTTATCTTTTTTGAATGCTGAGTCATATTCCATGGTATATATGTACCACATCTTCTTGATCCAGTCATCTATTTTTGGGCATTTGGGTTGTTTCCAAAGCTTAGCTATTGTAAATAGCGCTGCTATAAACATAGGGGTGCAGGTGCTCTTTGGAATTGATGTTTCTGTGTCCTTTGGGTAAATACCTAGGAGTGGAATTGCTGGATCATATGGAAGCTCTATGTTTAGTAGGTCCAGAAATCTCCACACAGCTTTCCACAGTGGTTGGACCAGTTTGCACTCCCACCAACAGTGCAGAAGAGTTCCTTTTTCTCCACACCCTCGCCAACATTTGTTGTTGCTAGTTTTTTTAATATGTGCCATTCTCACTGGTGTAAGATGGTATCTCATGGTAGTTTTGATTTGCATTTCCCTGATGACAAGTGATGTTGAACATTTTTTCATATGCCTGTTGGCCATTTGCATTTCCTCCTTCAGAGAAGTTTCTTTTTAGCTCTTCTGCCCACTAAATGTAAATAATTTTGAACTTCATATAAAGATGTCTCATTTAACTACAGTCATAAACAGTCCAGTTACCTCAATGACCCTACTGCAAAACTGAATTTAGATTGGAATTAGGGTATTAGATTGAATTTAGAATTTAAAGCACGCTACTATTAGGGTGGCACACCAATAATGGAGGCAGATAGAACAATGTGTATAATACATTTACAATTGCACAGTTAAGGTAAAACCACATCAATTTAGTAAGTATCTCTATGCAAAATTTAAAAGTTCTGTAAGGTACCTAGTCTGATATTAAGCATATGTGTCTAAGAGATTGAAACACTACTATATGTAGGTCAGGGCCCATAAACTATAATTTACAGTCCAAATCCAAACTGCCAATTGATTTTTTTAGATATAGCGTTATAGGAGAGCAACCATGTTTGTTTGTTACGTACTCTCTATGGCTGCCTTCTCACTACAAACGCATAGCTAGCAGCTGAGACAGAACCACATTACTGTTTGGCACGTTACTGTACTTAAATTCAAATAAAATTGTTTCCAAGTGCCTTCCATATGCATAATAGGAATATGACTATGGCAACATTAATGGCGGTATTAGGGACAAATTTTATCATGGACTATTATGATAAAAGACAGTTTTGGTAGCATGATGTCTACATTTTTGGATTAGAAAGAATGACTTAGGAAGTATGGGGCTCCACAGTGGAGTGTGGAGTTCCAAGGGGTGAGCTACTAACCATAGTTATAAAATTGAAAAGATAACTGAAATTCTGCAGACTCGCCCAATGACTGGTCAAAGGGAGAGCAGGAAGGGATTCCAGGTGGTTAAAATTAATATGCACATAAGAAAACAGTCCCTTTAACAAAGCAAGTCAGTTATAAGGACTATACCTGAGGGGGGAAATTAAATATTGTACAAAAAAGAATGATGTAAGAAAATAAAAAAAGTTTAAAAAATAAATGAAAAGGAAAAAAGGCAGTCAAGTCAGAAGAAGCTGATGTTAAGGGGTAAATGAGCTAAGCTGTGGCGTTGTTATCATTAAGATACCTCAGGAATGTCACATGATATAACAAGTAGGCATTTTAAAAGGCAAGTGTGGAATTCGGAAGCAAGGTCTGGACAAGAGGTTTTATTGGGACTCCAATGCCAGAGTAATTGTTGGCAATGGACAAGCAGTTGATGGCCCCCAAGGAGACAAAAATCCTTTCAATTTCATGAACTTCTAACACACACACACACACACACACACACACACGCACACTAACCTGGCGAAAAACTTCATTCACAAAATTGACATAACCTCGTGTTGACAAGAGAATCCGCTGTACCATTTCATACACACTTCGGTGCTCTTCTTCAATGCTACAAAGGCTGGAGTTGCTGAGTCTTCGGTCGGACAAGGTGCTGCTGTTAGAATGGTTTTTGTCCTGCTCCGCAGGTCCACTATCATCCAGCTCTGGTGCCCTCTCTTGCACTGAACCACTACCAACCGTCTGGAAGAAAGATATAACCACCTCTCAGTGATCCTCTTCAACATTCAAGAACACCTTGCAAAACTAAAGAGTGTCCTGATTTTAAAGAACACTGGTTATGATCACTTGACAGAAAGCTGGAGGGCAGCACTGTTCAATGTACAAGGGGCTTCAAAACCTATGCTTATAATTTTCTAATTTACCAAGTAACCCCATTCCCTCCAACTGAGTTATCTTACTAGGAAAAACTACTCTAGCTATGGTCTATAGTCAGAGATTATGGGTGTTTTGGTGGTGGGTGTGGCAACATACATCTGAATTGGTGTAAACTTACACCCCAAAATCATATATAGTGTTGTGAACCAATATTACCTTAATAAAAACAAGTCAATTTATAAAAACTACTCAATTATTATAGGGAAGCAGGCTACAAAACTTTATCAACCTAAAAGGTTTAATTTATATTTGTAATATCATAGAATAAATTAAGGTGTAATATATTTACATTATCACATTTGATCTCTACACTTCAGCAATTACTCTATGGTTACAGAGATTTGAAAATTCATTGGATTTTTTACAGCCACAATGTTGGGAAGCATCATTCAATTCATAAGACTAAGTAATACCTTTGTGGAAAAGTGCCAAGATCTTTAAAGAGCATTTTATGAAAAGAACCTTGATCTGAGTTTTATATTCAGAATCTCAGATTCGACTTCACTAAAATATTTATAAAACTATAAATATTTACAAGTCTTTAGAAGCACAAAGATATAAAATAATTCATGCAACGACTCATAAGTTTAACAGTGATTGCTGCTCTTATTTCCCCACGGAATTAAATGTTTCCTCTAAACAAAATATATGTGTAATTTTGCTTCATCTTCATAAATTCCACTATTATTCTTTTAAGTGTCAAAAATATGTAAACAAATACCTCTAAATTCTACCTACTGTGAACATTTTTTTGCAAGAAATGACAATATAGGAGCAATACAAGACAGTAATTTCAGTAATTACCAAGGACAGTTTAAAAGCAAAGCTGATATCCAAATAGAAATCTCTAGGGAAAATTAAATGGAAGATTATATTTATAGTATTTTTTCTCTTTATGCCTTAGCTATTAAGTCTGTGTGGCTCATCAAAGGCACTGTCAAACTCTGAGAGAAGCTACCCTATAGAAATTATTTCATCATTTTGATGGATCAATTATCTTCCACAGAAAAAATTTTTTACTGAAATTTAGGTTTTTATTTGAATCTTCAGTAGGAATGATCTAAGGATGAGATGAGAACGGTACAAACAGAAAAGGCCCAAAATAAGTATCATAAGACATTTCTACCTCTAAGACAAATAACTTATATTGATTTTGTTGGGTGTATATATTCTAAGTACTATATGTAATCTATATAAGCAATATATATATATATATACACATACATATATATATATATATACACACACACACACACACATATATGTAATTTCTATAAACCATAGATGTTAAATTAGGTCTAATGTCTCTTACAGTTTAACATCCATGACACTTTTACCAATAACTTTGATTTTGCCTATAGGTCAAAAAAATGTACATATGCAGCAAATTAAAAATGACTACCACATTCTTGGATGCTCCTTCCAAAAAAGAGGTGACGTCTATGTACTCCCCATTTGATCCACATGAACTACATGACTGTGTTAATGAATAGAACAGTGGAAGGGAACTGTGCCAGCTTCAGGTCTAGGACAAGTGGTTGACCGTTACACCCTGTTCTCATCTCAGGAGATATTCACTTGTGGAGCTCTAAACAACTAAGGAAGAAGTCCAACCACCCTGGTAGAGAGACTACCTGGAAAGGGAGGCTAAACTGAGTGTAGTCCAAGTGCCCCACCAAGTGGGAGGGAAGTGTGAACATAGTGGTCTTGGACACATCAGACCCAACAGCCAATTGGTGAATACCACTACATATTGGTCTTGGTTAAATCCACATGAAGCACAAGAATTACCCAACCATATACTGCCCAAATGCCTCACCCAAAGAGTAAAATATGTAATCTGATGAAAAGGTTGCTATTTAAAGGCATTAAATATTGAGGTTATATGCAGCATACCATAGATAACCAAAAAATGCTCATAAACAATTATGTTTAAAGGACCCAAATCATTTTAAGAAAATGAACTCTTATCCAAATAGAAGAGAATGGTAGCAAAGATGGATTTCCATCATGGATAAAAAGAAAACTAGTTCTCTTAATAAATGCTTTTCTTAGCTTCCTCTAATCTATACTCCCTCCATACAGGTTGATTTCCAAAAACATCTATATTTTGACAGACATTTAGAATTATAATAAGTAATGATATGTAAAACAAACTGATAATCCAAATATACTCATCACTTGTCTCCTTCATGAAAACTAATATTACTAATACTAAGAGCTTGAATAATCAACCACAGAGAGCAGTCCATTTTCCACCCACTACAATCAAGCTGGAATTCTCAACTATTATTTAGTATTAGTTGATTCCGGTGGTAAACATAAAGATGACTTTTACTTCTTTGGCATATGACGAAGCCTTAATCAGTGAAACAGACATATCTGCTTAGACCAGGCCTGTGATGCCAAGGTTCAGGAAATTGCATGATACAGGCTGCCACTTAATCCTTTCCCTTAACCCTCCCTTCTACCCTGCTTTCCTCTCAACCCACAGCTCATACTGAGACTTGTTCCCTCTCAGGGTCAGGCTAAATGAGGACACCCACGCTCAAAGCAGGTGTGAAACAAGAGGATGCAGCTGCCTTCTATTGGTGATGCCTAAAGTCTCTCAATTTCCCTTACTTACATGGCTGGGTACAGCTTACCTTTGCTTTGGAAAAGTTTAAGAAAGAAGAGAATATTAGAGTAGTGGTCAACAAATGTGTCTGTATAATATATGAGCTCTTGTAGGGTTGTCATTTTCTGTGATTCACTTTTTCTAACTGTTCATCCTATGACTTGCAACGATTTCAGGAAATCCAGAGCTCATGAGTCACTATTGAAGAGCTGGTTCAGAATTGGTAAAAGTGGTACTTCAATAATGTAACTAAAGGTTATACAGAGAAATGTGACCAACTTTTTTTTTTTTAACCTTTTTAAAAAGATTTATTTATTTTTTTATACAAGCACTGGGTACAGCAGAAGCACAAGAGGGTGAGAGAATTCACCAGAGCCAGAGAGGAGAGCAGAATAGGCAGACCGACGAAGTACACTGCTCAGGGGAGCAGCGGGTGGCAGGAGAGGTCTGCGCGCCATGTGGGACCCTCACCCGGTGGCCGGGATCAAACTGGCGCTGCAGAGGCTGCAGGCAGCTTCACAACCCAGTGCTCAACCGCTGTGCCACCGGGGAGGCCTGAAATGTGACCAACTTAATCAGACTTTCTTTTTTAGAATTTCTTTGACTTTTAATATTTAATTAATGTGCATATAGAACTGGTTAAAAAACTGTCTTTGCAGAAATTTTAATATCACCCCTCTGCTTTCTCTAATGCATGTTGAAGTGCTTCTATCTCATATAAAAATTGCTTATGAATAACTTGACTAAAATATTTTATAGGTGAAATCATTCACCAAGAATGTTCAGATTTGAAAGTGTTTACTGTTGTTGTGACATCATATGGGATATATGAGGAGATATATTTTCATTCTCTCATGAATGACAATACATAAATGTGTTAAATCAGCTTCTCCAAGAGGTAAGTAAACTAAGTCTAGAAAATACACTAATCCTTCCTTCCCTTGTAAAATATTATCAAAGATATTATCTCTAGATTAAGAGGACATAAATTCATTTTGAGGAAAAAAACACAAAACAGGCTCATATGTGACATTTGACATAGTAACAGCAGAAGTGTCAACTCTACTTGGAAGCAGCACTGAAGATTTTGTCTTAAAGCACTTTTACAAGAGCTGCATATCCTTTAAAAAGGGATTTTGGATCGCCTGTCTTAGACAATAATAATTCACATGGGCAAAATTATGTCAAATTTTAAATTCCAAACAAAAACTTTCAAGCAACAAATGCAATTATATATGCTTTTATGCTTGCAATTCCATTTTAAAAATCTAATATTCAGTTGTATAAACTGCTCCTTTTTCACTTATACAATGTAAATGAAGAGTGAAACAAGGTAGATACATATGAGATGATGTGTGAAATGCAGGAGGTACAGGAGGGAATACAGGAGACATCTGGTCACTGAACAATGACCCAATGGTGTCCTAATTCCCAAAATTTATGAATATGTTATCTTCCACAGCAAAAGAGATTTGTCAAATGTGGTTAAATTAAGAATACTGAGATGAGGAGATTATCCTGGACTAGCTGAGACCTTATATAACCACTAGGATCGATAAGAAGGTAGAAGGCACAGGCAAAGTGATGGAAAGGTGGAAAGAGAGAGAAAAGGTGATGTGATGAGGCATGACAAACCAAGGAATGCAGGCAGCCTCTAAAAGCTGCACTAGGCAAGAAAGGGATTCTTCTCCAGAAGGAACACAGTTCTGCTAATACCTTAATTTTAGTAGACTGAGGCTGATTTTGGACTTCTGAGTTCCAGAAGTGTAAGATAATAAATCTGCACTGTTTCAAGTCACTCCATTTGTGGCAAACAGAAACTAATAACTTACTGTGAGATGTATTAACAGTCTCTATCATGCAGCGCCCATTTCTAGTCTTGGTAATTGGCAGGACATGGTAGCAAGGGACACAGATGGTTGATTGTCTAGTATTTATTCCTCCTCCCTACTAGAACTCCATTATCTGTGTGTCTCTTCCCATGCAGTTCACCTGACTCACATGAAATGGATCTCATACAGAAAGGGTGTCTTCCAGTTTGTGAAAGTCAACTGTGACCCTCCTCGGCCTTTTAAACACCCAGTGTTAAACCAATTGGTTCACTGTTACTGTTACAGGAGTGGGCGGGTAACCAAAGTTGTTCCAGATAAAAGTTTGTCTCTATATGTGAACAGGAAAAAGCCATGCCCCAGCCACTGGAAATCATGTTACAAAAATGAGGGATGCTAAAGACAAACATGTCAGAGGGAAAAGGGCTGAATACAGTAGAGAAAATTGCAAAGAATCAGAGAGGGCATAAGTGAACCATATTCTCAGCCAGCCTCACTCTGAGCTTCTTTTTTGTTATATTAAATTATTTATGTTTAAAACAGTTTGAATTTTGATGTCCTTTTTTTTTCCCCCATGAGGATGATAGAATCATCCTAATTAATTTAGGAGGTCAAACCTAACGACAGTAAGAAAGTTAGATAATAAAGGTAGGAGACTCATAAATATGAATAGTCAACTAAGGAAAAAAATCAGAAGCTCAAAGTAGTGGTTAATTTGCTATTCTTTCTATTTCTCATCAACCAATTTTTTTTTCCAAGAATAAGCAACTTATATTTTATAAAAACAAGTAATGATTTTCTAAAATTTTGAAACCAGATAAGCTACATCCTTTATATGAGAGGTTTTGAGTTGACTGAACAACTATAGCAGATACAATGTAAAGCTTATCAGTGTTTTTCATATATAATTTCATACAAATATTGGTCTACATGATGATTTATTTTTAGCTTTTATCTATCAGATGGGTGAATCTATTTCATCATGGTTCAGAACTTTTTTCCCTGACTGCTGGTGATATCAGAGTCATTTTTATTACTCTTCTGTGAATTGCTCTTTCTTTTGTTTATTTTCAATTAGGTTGTAACCACTCTATATTGTAGCGATATGAACTCTTCTAACAACCATGATATTACAAATGTTTTTTAGATTCTTTTTCTTGGTTGGCTTTACATTTTCTTTTGACATCTAAATCTGTTCCTTTTTTTTTTTTTTTTTTAAATAAAGTCAAACTACATTTCTTCTACTGCTTGGGGCTCTACTTAAGGTGGTTTACCATTTCCCAGAGTTAAACATTCCCCTAATTTTTTTCTTGTTCTTTACAATTTTTTTTTCTATGTTTAGACCTTAAATCAACCTGACATTTACTCATAAATTTTTATCAAAGTAAGGTGCTAAGAAAGAGACTGAAGGTCCTTCCAGCTTCCAAATCTGCAAATAAGATATTCATTCCTCTGAGGTAGTCTGTGGTTTCTGTATGGGAATCTGCATTTTTCCCTAATCCCCTAAAGTCACATGTCTTGTTCATGTTTCTGTCTGTTTCACTAGTTCTTCCTGGGATTCAATGGCCCTTTCACTCTAAAGCATGACCTTTTCCAACTCAGGTAAACTTTTCTTATTATCAGCGCAATTATTACTTTCATTCTTTTCTCCACTTTCCTCATACTACTTGCAAGATAGATCTAGACCTATCTTCAGCACTTATCTACTAATTGCTAATTTTTATCTCTTTCCATTTTGACTCATTGTTATAGGCTATTTCCTCAAAAAGCCAATTTTGTTCTCAGCAGTGACTACTATCATTTTTAGTTACCTATTAAACTTTTACATTAAGAAATTTAAGTATTTTTCTTTCAGCAAATCTTTCATTATTCTTGGCAGTCATACTTGCTGCAAGGAAACAAATATCTCCTCTAGTTCTTCAGTCTATTCTCACAAAAGGACCATGTGCTCTGGACCTTAGTTTGGTGGTCCTCCAACAAGGTAGTAATTACCCTCAGGTAGACCATACTTTCTATTCCAGTTTTGGGGACAACAAAAGAAAGCACACAAGGGCCTCCCCGGTGGCGCAGCGGTTGAGCGCTGGGTTGCGAAGCTGCCCGCAGCCTCTGCAGCACTGGTTAGATCCCCGGCTGCTCCCCAGCCACTGGAGGAGGGTCCCACATGGCGCGCAGACCTCTCCTGCCGCCCACTGCTCCCCTCAGCAGTGTACGTCAGTCCTTCTGCCTGCTCTGCCCCCCGCTCTGGCTCTGGTGAATTCTCTCACCCTCCCGCGTTTCTGACTGTATCCAGTGCTTGTATAAATAAATAAATATTAAAAAAAAAAAAAAAGAAAGCACACAAAATCACAGTCCTCCAGTAAACTAGTTACTGTCTGACTTCCACAGTGATGGTGCTCTAACTGAACAAAGTCCAGCAATGCAGTCTATTAGGAAAGCCCTGTTTGAGTCTGACCAAGCCCAGCAATAGAGAAAAGGCACCATAAGACCTATAAGAAAAAGTCTTGACCAAAGACCTTGGAGAGAAGTAGTCTTCTCTTCCAGGGAGTCTGTCATGGTTCAACAACAACTCCCAAATCCTGAGTTGATGATCCAGACACTCCTTGCTGTGTCCAGAGGGCACTTGGCAATTCCCACAGGTCCCTTCCATGGACCACCTGCATGACTCCTCAGGACTTTGCAGGTCCTGAAGGTTGGTGAAGGCAAGACAGGCCCCTGGTCTTATGTTCAAAGGTCACTGGTACTTGAACAAAAGAAGACAAAGGAGAGGGAGCCAGGAATTACTATGAGTTATTGTCTCAAAATGCCTTCTTCACCTCTTCAATATTACCTAGTCATGACAATGCCATAAGAGCAAAGCTAATGCTTTTAACTCAGCTTCCTCCAAACCTGAGCACTACAAAAGATTCTAATAAAACTGAGTCTCCAGAATCAACAACCTATGAGAAACAACACTAATAATCAATAACTTTGGTATATGTCAGGGTGTATTATTACATAAGAATTAAGAGATGAAAAAGATGATGAATGACATACCTGTATGATTTTAGGCAATACATCAACTCCATTTTTAGTGTTCTGTGCTGCAGTTAGATACTTTTTTTCCAAAAAGAAAGTTACAATCCACTTAATAAAAACAACACGAGCTGCCATGTAAGGAATTTTTGTACTGTAAATGTTTTCATTGTCTCGAGTTGTAGTAATGTACACTGGCTTTGGTCTGAAATGAGGGATATCTGGCAGAAGAAAGAACACATGACCGGGTTAGCAAATCTGAATACTATGAAACCCCTACAATCTTTCAGTTTCCAATTAGAAAGACATATATTTGGTCATTTGACTTATCATTAAGATTAAAGAATTTAAAATGATTTAAAAATGGCTATTTTGGTAAGCTTATTTATGACTCCATCATCTGATCAAAAAGTGTTTGCTACTGTTTACATACTAATATGATATAAATCTAGACAAAACTAAGCTAGTTTTTTATCTTTTTATAAAATTTGAGAAGTTAACATAAGAGTATAGTACAGTATATAGACTATACAGTGGTAAAAATTCACACAAATGAAACACCAAATTTAATCTTATAACTAGAATAAATATAAAAGCATGTATATTTTTTAGGGGGGGAAAGCATATATATTAGACATTTTTCATCAATCTTAGGGTTTTAACATCTAACATTACACTGATGAACTCCAATGAATCTTGATTTTATATCCATTTCCCTTTAGATGAATCCAAAGAAACAAAATCACTTTAAGGTATTTTTTGTTTAATAGAAAGCAGACAGTCTAGTTTCATCTTTGAGGTATCAGATACTACCATTTCCAAAGAATTAATAAGTTCATTTCTCATTCTTCAAATTTTAATAATCAATATTAAAATTATATAGTATTGGATTTGATATGCTACTTGCTTTCAGTCCAACTTTTTTACCCATTTTTATTACCTGCAGGTACCTGTATGAGGCAGAAAAACTCTCCACAAATAAATTTAAAAAAAAAAAACAAAAAACCATGACTTCTTTTTTAAGATTTTTTTTTTTAAAGATTTATTTATTTATGCATACAAGAGCTGAGGTACAGGTCAGAGGTGTGCGGGGTGAGAAGATTCACCAGAGACAGAGCAGGGAATAGAACAGAGGCAGATCAACCGAAGTACACTGAGGAGGGGAGCAGTGGGCAAGTCAGGAGAGATCTGTGAGCCATGTGGGACCCTCCACGGAGGCCGGGGATCGAACCGGTGCTGCAGAGGCTGCGGGCAGCTTCACAGCCCAGCACTCAACCACTGTGCCACCAGGGGAGGCCAAGATTTATTTTTTATTTATACATACAAGAACTGGGGTGCAGGCCAAAGGTGCAGGGGGTGAGAGAACTCACCAGAGACAGAGTGGGGAGCAGAACAGACAGATCTACTGAAATACACTACCGAGAGGACCAGTGGGCAAGACAGGAGAGGTCTGCCTCGCCAAGTGGGTCAGCTCCCTGGCCAGGGATCGAACTCATGCTGCAATGGCTGCCAATAGCTTGACAGCGCTAACTTTAATCCCTGCACCACCAAGGAGGCCCCACAAATAATTTTTAACCTAGGAATCTTAATAATATACCATGTTTTCTACAATGAATTTAGACTACTTATAATATCAAAAATAAGCCTTAAAAAATATATACACATATATATAACAAATAAAATACATGTTCTAATACCCCCAAAGCCAGTACTGCCATCCTTCTAAATGTACCAAACTTCAGCTGCTCTTTCCTTGCCCTTGTACATACATGTATACTCACAGGCAGACAGACTAAGTAGTTGTTCATATTAGTAAAAATGGTTTTCCCCCCTTTAAAACTGTTCTTATTTTTCATTTGAATTAATTTCATCTGTTCTAACAAATAAAGAGAGAAGATTTGACCCTCTCCCTCCCCACACTAAGGATGCTTCAGTTCGGTGAGGCCTCATTTCTCAAAGACAGACACTTTTAGTAGCTAAATTATAAACACCCACATTTCCTGCCCCTCTGGGGATTCCTATTCCTAGATTACCCAATCACTCAAAACTATGCATCTGTATAAGCAGTGGTCAGTGGTAGCTGTAAGAGGGAATATTCAGAATAACAGAAGGGCATACTATGGGTAGCTGCATGGCTGAGGCTGGTGTACCTAGCCACTGATCAAGATCAGTAAGGTTACTAACCCCACCACCCATGAGGAAAGACTACAGGAAATGCAAAATTTTTTACATTAAAATATTTTTAATATAGGGCCTCCCTGGTGGTGCAAGGGGTTAAGACATAGCCTGTGAAGCTGTCTGCAGCCTCTGCAGCATGAATTCAATCCCCGGTGGGCCAGGGAGCAACCCACCTGGAGCAGCAGATCTCTCCTGACTTGCCCACTGCTCCCCTCCTCAGTGTACTTCAGTTGATCTGCCTCTGTTCTATTCCCTGCTCTGTCTCTGGTGAATCTTCTCACCCCGCACACCTCTGACCTGTACCTCAGCTCTTGTATGCATAAATAAATAAATCTTAAAAAAAAAAAGGTGGCGACTGAAAATTAAAAAAAAAATACAGAAATCATTATACATTTTAAATTCTTTTTTTAAATTAATTCCATTTTTTAAATTGAGATATATTAATAATTGATAAATAACATTACACCAGTTTCAGAAGTGCCACATATCGATGCAATATTTATACTGGTTAACACTGTCCACATACCTAGTTTAGAGAAACTTTTTCTCTTGTGATGAAGACTTTCAAAGATTTACTCTATGAGCAAATTTCAAATATGAAGCACAGTACTATTTTTAACTATAGTCAGTATTATAGATTACATTCCCATGATTCATTTCTTTTATAATTGGAAGTTTGTACCTTTTGACCACCCTTCCTAAATCTACACACACACACACACACACACACACACACACACACACACATACACACACACAACATTGGCAATCACCTATTCTCTGTATCTCTGAGTTCAGAATTTTGAGGATTGGGGATGAGGGGGCATTTGTTTTCAAATAATTTCTTAGTGTAGAAAACATGGTTCCCCTTTATTATTTTAAATTATGATACATCTTAGTTGCACAAATAATATCATTTATTAGGAAGTGAAACCTCTCACAATAAAGTTATTAAAGACGGAAACAACTATTTTACTTATAAATAAACAAAGATCACTTTGAAAGAGACAATACAGCTTCCCTGTGGACATCTTCCATCCAAGGTTCAATCAATACTTACCAAGTACAGGTTTGTAGATGTTTGTTAATTTAGTAAATGATGGAAATAAATGAGGAAGATAATACTTTCGAAACAATGTAAAAAGAAATTTGAAACCAGTATCTTGATTCTCCCTATTCTTCCACTCCAAGCTTGCAGCCTTTAGGTAATATGTGAAAAGAAAACATGTACATTTAGAGTTCAAGTAAATTCTCAGTAAGCTAAATTGCGGTTAAATTATTAAAATTCCTATCCTAAATAAATTAAAACTTGACAAATAATATTGACAACTACGTAAAGAAACTATCTTAAAACTCAAAAAATGACAAAATAATGACAAAACTATTTATAACAAATAGTAACTATGATAAAAACAGCATTTTCATTAAGAATTGAAGAAAGTCACCCAAAATTTATCTCAGCAGTGACATGACAGAACATGAGGTAAGGAAAGAGACGTGGCAGTTCTGAAGAGGACAGAGACTAGACTATACTGAGAAGAACTCAGGGAGAAAAAAGCATTGAGAGAAAAAGATCAGTAGCTTTTTTCTATCCATATCAATGTTCTGAAATATATGTATCAAAAGCCATAATAAATTATTTACTTAAATCATGAACTAATGATTTTGGTTCTGTATTGAGTTGATAAACATAAGGGAAAGGAACGCATAATCTAAAGAAGACATGTTTATACTATGGTGAGATAATTACATAGCTTTTGATCAAATCTCTCTGCCTGTATTACCTATCCCTGATACACCCTCAGCATCTGGGACTAATTCCCCCCATACACACACACAGTGTTTCTTTGCTAATATAGAGATCAGAGGTAGGGAAAGTCTAAAGAGACAAAAATAGTTTAAAACACAGGTACATGAAAGAGTACATATGCCTGGTCTTTGCTGCAACGACCTAATAATTGCACATACTCCGTATTTAGTGAAATATCACATAAAATCACCTCATAGGAAAAGGTAAAACAAAAAATATGGATGTACAGGAAAAAAAGAGGAAATTTTTCTCTTTCTTATTGAAAATAAGACGACCACCAAATGATCTATGATTTTGCTCTTACCTGAATAACCATATATTTCAACAGTATTTGAAGGAAAAAGCATGTTTGGTCCTCAGGGATCTTTTCCCCTGATACAGTGGGCAAGAGTGGAGAGATTTCCTCTGGATATATCTTTGCTGTAGAGAAGAAAATTTGAAAACAACCTCCATCAAAATACATCTACCCATGCATGCAATAGAACTGGTACATGGAACTCCAAGCTAGTGTGCATGAAGGGCTTGGAAACATGGAACAGATGCCCACAAGGTCACCTCATCCACTAGACCATTCTTTTCCCTTTTAAATTCTGTTTTGGCCAGCCTAAGATCAAATACCTGTCAATGATATGCAGTAATAAATCAATGACTCTAAGAGTAAGTTCCTTGAAAACTCAAAAGGACACAAATGGCTGCCATTAATAATTCCATGCAGCCACTCTGTCCTGTGTAAACATACATGTAAACATGTAAACATACACCTGGCAAAAGAACCTGGGGAAAAAAGATGAATGTCCATGTATGAAACAATAGATACATGGATTGTGGATGAGGACAATACACAGGAGCATTTTGGATGGTAATTCAAATCTCAACAGCCACAAAACACTTCAGCCATACAGTGTATCTGTATTTCCCATTATCTCCTCCCTTCCATTCCTGTTTCCAACCACATCGGTAAATTTCTCCTGTCATCATTTCACAATTTCACATAAAATATGCCTTTGATGTCTTTAAATTCTATAGTTTGTAAGAATCTATTATGAATATGAACAGTAGAATAATTCCTCTTGAGAATAATTCCCATGTAGAACCCCCCTATGAAATCAAGATTTTTATTCAAGAAAACGACAAACCAATGAATTTCTCAATGTAATTTCAACTTTAAGATCTACTGACACTACTCACCATCAGCTACACTAGGGCTAGGATTGATGAGTGTCTCCAGCGTACAGGGGCCTTTGGATGATATGATTGCTGGGAAACCCGGCACAAGGCAAGCAAAAATCAGCACCTGTTCTTCTGCGCAGTTTGTCTGCAGTGCTTGAAGCCACAAAAGAAATAGCCTGATTCCTTCACATCTTATCTAAAAACAAAAAATTAAGGCAACGAAATTAAAAACTTATACATAAGTTCTGAGAAAAGGAAAACTAGACGTAAAAGATATTATTAAAGTACCATACCAACTTTTTTTTAAAAGATTTATTTATTTATTTATACAAGAACCGGGGTACAGGCCAGATTCAGAGGAGGGTGAGAGGATTCACCAGAGACAGAGCAGGGAACAGAACAGGCAGACCGATGAAATACACTGCTGAGGGGAGCAGAGGGTGAGACAGGAGAGGTCTGCCACACCATGTGGGACCCTTGCCTGCCAGCCGGCCAGAATCCAACCAGTACTGCAGAGGCTGCGGACAGCTTCACAGCACTGTACTGAACCGCCTGTGCCACCAGGGGAGGCCCTACACCAACTTCTTAATGTCAAGTGGCAAAGATACTGTAATGTAGCACAGGGGTTAAGAGTTTAGATTCTGAAGTCAGAGTGCCCAGGTTCATATGCAGGCTTTGCACTTTTTGGCTTAGCTAGACCTTTGGAGAATCAATAAACTTCTCTATACTTTAGTCTCCCCTCTGTAAAATAAGGCTGATAATAGAATTTACTACAAAAGACTATTAGAGGAATTACTTAGTAAACTCCATATATTTCTTTCAAATAATATTTTATTCTATAAGATCCGTATCAGCAACATTCAATTATCCATGAAAACCATGCAAAGGTAATCTTCCTTCAAATTTTATATTGACTTTGAACAGAATTTTCATCAAGTCATTACAATATGCACATGCATAATGTTCTTGAAAATCAGAACATTTAGAACTAAATTAGACCATAAAGACCTAGCTCAATAGGAATAGAGTAGCTCTCTGGCTACCATTCTTGTGTCTCTATTCTATCTTCTCCAATACTGTGGCCATGCTCTGGACGGTCAGTATCTCCTGACAGAAAACATCAACATGGGTAGATGTGTCCTTTTTCTTTCTCCACACTTACTTTCAACTTCATCCAACTCCTAGATTTCCTAAACACAGGTACCTCCATATCTATATTCCTAAATGACTGGAAAGATGACAGCAATTAGAGAAGTTAAATTTTTTATATGTCAGGCACAACTGAAAGATCTAGTGATCTCCAAATGTAGGCAACTGAGAGACTGCCTGACCTTCCTTTACTTACACCAATGTAGTTCTGACTTCCAAAGCATGAGGCTCTGCAGGTAATGAAACAGGAGGGGAAGAGCACTACCCACCACCATCCCCCCCCCAAAAAAAAATAGAAAGAAAAGAAAGGGCTTGGTTGATGTTCCATAAAAGTTAAATACACCAAGACAGACATCCTTTCTGGTGACAGTGCTACCAGCATTAGCTAGTGGATTCTATGGTGCATTTCCAGACAAGATCACCAATGCCACCTCTCCTCTACATAAGCCAGTGTGCCTCCTAAGCAAATAAAATGAGTGGCAATGTTGCTGAATACATTCAGTTTACAGCTCTATGTATACCTAGTCAAATTATATTAAATTTAACAAAAGGAAAGTTTCTACAAAATTCTATCAGAAGTCTACAATTATTATGTCAATTATATTTAACTAAATACAAATAAGACAAATAATAAAAGGAGTAAAGTGATAAATTTTACCTATAAAACCATTCCATTAAAATATGCATTCTGTCATAAAACTGTAACTATATCTCTGAGTGCCCAGAGACCACAGGGCAAGGCAGCTTTGCTGGGGCTGAGCAAGTCAACCTCAGCCAGCCGCCTATGTACTCCCTCCCCTGGACCCAGCAAGATCAGCTCTGGCCATCGTTCCCCAGAGTCCACAGGCAAGAACACAGGCTGGTCTAGGCAGGGCTAGGTTTTTCCCATTAACATCTGGCTCCAGGATCCTAAATGACCCAATCAGGTTTGAGTGCAATAGACAGTCAAGTTTGAGCTCTCTCCAGCTGTCATTCAACCTTGAATTAATTATTTGGATTAAAAATGGAAAGCAAACTGTTTGGTGCTAAATGGTCCAATCAGATGCTTAGTATTGAAAACAGAGGAATTAGGTTTGTAGGTTGTGGTACCCTGAAGAGGATATAAGACAAAGCAAGTTTCGGCTTGAGTCAGTCAGCAGCCTGCCTCAGACCACCTTCAAAGAGGAAGCAATCAGTGGACCACCTTCAAAATGGAAGAATTCATCAGATGGTCTCTGAAGAGAGAGAAATATCAAGCAGATAACCTCCATGGGATTCACCAGGCCTCCGTACAGTTCCAGACCTCCATAAGTCTTCAGAGAGACCCAGCTGCTACACTTGCCTCCAATCCTGCCTCTGATAACACCTACAATGAGCATTGTTGACCTCAACCCAGTGCCTCAAGAAGCTGCTCACTGTTGGTATATGCTAACATCTCACAAAGAGCTGTCCACGATCTCTGGTTCTCTGGCACCAATTCCGGTGCCATTGAATCCAGCACTGTACAGTCCAGTGCCCAGTACGGTTCAGCTCAGCCTTCAGACTGCTGCTATGGGCTGCTGTAGTGTCACATCAGCAGCCACAACTGTGAGCAGCTCCAGCTACCACAATGAGCTGGCTCCTAGCCACTGTTTTACTGTTTACTGGTGTGCCTCCAGCTCCAGACCCTCATTGATGGGAGCAACATTTATTTTGGAATACTGGACACTGCAGACACTTTCTAGGGTGAAAACAGCTTATGACCACTTATGGCCTTAGAAACTTTTGTTTCCCCAATCTTATTTGTTAAATAAACCCCAATGTTACCCTGGGCCGGAGTGGTCTTGCAATTGAGCACATGAGTGAGAACCCACAGACAGTGCACTGTCCCCCACTATTGGCACTGTTTTAAGTACTTTTTAAAAAGGGACTGGTCAAACCCTTCCCTTTTCTGATAAGCAGACTGGAGCAGTTAGTGTCCCACTTGTGCTTCCTTAGCTGTTCACAGCAGAATCAAAATAAGAACTCTGATTCTAAACTCTGAATCCCACTCCAGTTTCTCCTAAAAATATTTAAAATGTCTAGCCCAACAAATTGTGATAAAAGAACAAGAATCCTAATAATATTTGTCATATATTTTTTTAATTAAAAATAAAAACTACATTGTATAAAACATTTTTTTCAATATAGACTAATTTTGTCAGTTTGTGGCATTAATAAATTTTAGAGTAATGAAAAAAGCCATTGCATTTTAATCTAAATAAGTACCTTAATAGAATTTCCAGTGTGTAGAAGCTTCTTTAAAGTTGAACCTGAAAGTTTAAAACAATGCATTAGAAACAGAATATATGAATGCATATTTAAGATTTATTTTCAAAAGACAATTTTTAGAGAAAAAAGTACTTATGACAAAAAATAAATTTTAAAAATAAAAGGGAAGCAAACTAACATCAAAGAAGAAGAGATATTTTAAGGATATCTGTGAAACTCTTCAAAATTCTTTTAAAAGCATCACAATGATACTAAGGTAAACTAAATACCTATAGTGGATTATGTGCAAATATTTCTTGCCATGCATAAAAAATGAAGAATTTTCATTCATTAAAGTTAAAATTATATAAAACTACTGCTCACAAAACAGTTTTCAAGACTATTTTACAAATATTCAGGATGGCATGTTTCTTTCCTTGCAAGGACAACCACATTTATGGGTGTGGTCCACCAATAAATCCTCTAACAGTGCTCTTTGGTCACTGTCAAGGAGAAGGAATCAAGGTTTAACTCAGAACTACACCAGTCAACTGCAGAAATGTTTGTGTTGCAGCCCCATGTCTTTAGAAAAATCTCTTACGAAGATTAAAAACATAGCATCTACTGTTCTCTAAACGTGTTTGTGTTCTCCTATGGAGATGAATTGGCAACCCCAATTCATACCTGGCCTCTAAATGGGCTCTAAATGGAAAAAGGAAGTAATCTTTTCAAATGAAAATATATTGAAGTATTTCACAAGAGAAATTTTATTCCCAATTTTTTTTAGAAAAAAAAAATTACATAGATCTTCAATGAAAAGTTTTGTGCATTATTTAAAAATTGGATGTCAAATCACATTTACTCCACCAGTGAATTTCAAAGTGATATTCCATGAAGAACAGAGTCAGGGTCTCAACAATTGCTATAGGTTATATCTATACAGACAGATACATGAATGCCAGTTAAATGCATACATATTAGGAATACATTAGCCAGAACACAATCTGTGATATAACAGCTTTAGTATTTAAAACACACTGTGGCTCAGTGGAAACTCACCATTGTCATGACTAGGTTCCAGCACTAAATCACTAATGGTTTGTGATTAAGTAAAGAAAGTGAAAGTGCTCTCCTCCCTCCACTCTCTAATCACCAAACCATACCCAGCAATTTTCAGTCTAGAGCCAACATTTACTGGACTGGGCTCTCTCACAGCTAAAGTTTAAGTACCTGGGCTTATGGGAATATTTTATCCCACTCCTTTACTTAACCTGGTACCTTGTCTCTTCCCTTCATGTTCATCCATTCTTGGACAAAGTCTGTTCTGACTCAGTCTAATATTTGCTTCATTAAGCCTATGAGGACCATTAAGCCTATGAGGATGGTTGGCAGAGCCAGTGGACACTTCAGTTCCCAGAAGACTTGGAATAAAATCTGTACAAACAGTTCTCATCCCAGACATCTGGCAAATCCATCATCTTGACGTACATTCTCAGACGTGCTTTCTCCTGGTCATTTTGTATGAGTCCTGGGGCTTGTCAGTCTTTTCCCTCCTTAAAATGGGTCCAACATTTTTATTTGTAACTTTTAGCCTACCCATAATTGCTTATATATATTCTTCCCTATATAATGAGGAAAATACTTAAAACAACAGATATACCAAGTGACATACAAAGTACCTGACCCACACCTATCAAAAGTTCTTGACTTTTTAAAAATTAAACTGATAATTTGTTACAACAGCAATAGAAAAATCAATACATATACTGCTGATAGTATTGATACTATTTCATTCTGTTACATGTACAGAGGCTTCTGTACATGTAAAAGAAGTATAATTTAGCAGCTGTAAGTCAGAACCAGGAGCCAGACTGCTAGGGTTCCAATCCAGGTTCTGTGCTTACTAAGCAATGCAGGTCTCTGCTATTTAATTTCACCATGCCTGATTTTTCTCATCTGTAAAATGGAATAATAACAGTGTCTACCACAAAGAACTGCTAAAGAGATTTAAATGAATTGCATACATGAATGCTTTGAACAGCATCTGGTATATGGAAAGCACTTCTCCAATAAGATAGGGCATCAGCTATTTTCAAAAGAACTCCTTTTAAATAAACAACATTAGAAAGAAAAATGTACAAGGGCGGCACAGAGCAGAGGGCATCCAAACGAGAACTGCTAATAAGTAGCTCAGAGATCTGCCTGAGCTATACATTCATTAAGATATTTTTACATTAACTTTATCATTTAATTTCAAAGTGATGTTCCATTAAGAAACAAAGCCAGAGTCTCAACAATTGCGATAGGATATATCTATATGGACAGATACATGTATGCCAGTTAAATGCATACATACTAGGAATTATTATTTTAATTTCCAAAAACTATATGTGTGAATGCATGTTTAATATTTTTCACAGATTAAAGTGGCTGAAAAAGTATTGAAAAATCAAAAACAAGGTATATTAACACTCAGTTTAAATGTTTTAGTTATAACACAGATTTTATTATACTTTCATTTTCTTAGCTTTAATGATAATAAATTCATCAATATTTTCAAAACCCACATTGTTATCTCATTTTTTTAATTTAAATTTTATTTTTATATTCCGCATACAATTACAACCCCCTTATTTTGACCCAAATCCCTACTTACCCTACCCACACCCCCCATAAAGTGTCTCTGGTTCATAGTTGTTTGTTGATTTTGATATTTTCTTTCTTATAGTTATTCTTTTTCCTGATCCCTTATTTAAGTTTTCTAGATTCCTGCTATGTGAGACCATCCGGTATTTTTCTTTTTCTTTCTGGCTTATTTCACTGAGCATGATCCCTTCCAGCTCCATCCATGTTGCTGCAAATTGTATGTGTTTATCTTTTTTGAATGCTGAGTAATATTCCATGGTGTATATGTACCACATCTTCTTGATCCAGTCATCTATTTTTGGGCATTTGGGCTGTTTCCAAAGCTTAGCTATTGTAAATAGTGCTGCTATAAACATAGGGGTGCAGGTGTTCTTTGGAATTGACGTTTCTGTGTCCTTTGGGTAAATACCTAGGAGTGGAATTGCTGGATCATATGGAAGCTCTATGTTTAGTAGGACAAGAAATCTCCACACAGCTCTCCATAGTGGTTGGACCAGTTTGCACTCCCACCAACAGTGCAGATGAGTTCCTTTTTCTCCACAACCTCGCCAACATTTCTTGTTGCTAGTTTTTTTAATATGTGCCATTCTCACCGGTGTAAGATGGCATCTCATTGTAGTTTTGATTTGCATTTCCCTAATTACAAGTGATGTTGAACATTTTTTCATATGCCTGTTGGTTATTTGCATTTATTCTTCAGAGAAGTTTCTTTTTAGCTCTTCTGCCCATTTTTGATTGGATTATTTTCTTTGTTTTTGTTGTGTCTCATCAGCTCTTTGTAGATTTTTGTGATCAGTCCTTTATCATTAGTGTTGTGTGCAAAAATGTTCTCCCACTTGGTGGGGTTTCTCTTTGTTTTTGTTATTGTCTCTTTTGCTGTGCAGAAGCTCTTTAATGTGATGTAGTCCCAGCTGTTTATCTTTGCCTTCACTATCACTGCTCTGGGTGATGTGTCTGTAAAGATGCCTTTGATGTGAATATCATGTAGTGTTTCACCTATATTTCCTTCTATGTATTTTATGGTATCAGGTCTTATGTCTAGTTCTTTAATCCATTTTGAGTTGGTTTTTGTGCATGGTGTTAGGTAGTAGTCAAGCTTCATTCTTTTGCATGCAGCGACCCAGTTTTCCCAGCACCATTTATTGAACAAACTTTCTTTGCTCCAATGCATATTCTTTGCTCCTTTTTCAAAGATTAGTTGACCATAAATCTGTGAGTTTATTTCTGGATTTTCTATTCGATTCCATTGGTCTGTGTGTCTGTTCCTGGTCCAATACCATGCAGTTTAATGATTATGGCTTTGTAGTATAGTTTGAAGTCTGGGAGTGTGATGCCTCCATCCCTTCTTTTTTTTTCAGGAGAGCTTTGGCTATTCGGGGTTTTTGGTGATTCCATATGAATTTCATCAATAATTGTTCTATTTCTTTGAAGAATGACATTGAATTTTTATTGGAATAGCATTGAATCTGTATATTGCTTTTGGTAGGATGGCCATTTTAATAATGTTTATTCTTCCAATCCATGAGCAGAGGATGTCTTTCCATTTCTTTGTGTCTTCTTCTATTTCTTTTAACAGTGTTTTATAGTTTTCTTTGTATAGGTCCTTTACCTCTTTTGTTAGATTTATTCCCAAGTATTTGATTTTTTTTTGTTTCGATAATAAAAGGGATGGTTTTTTGATTTCTTCTTCTTCAGATTTATTGTTTGTGTATAGGAAGGCTACTGATTTTTGCGTGTTGATTTTGTATCCTGCCACTTTACTGAACTGATTGATGAGTTGAATTAGTTTTTCTGTGGAGTTTTTGGAGTTCCCTATGTATTTTATCATATCATCTGCAAATAGTGATAATTTGACTTCTTCTTTTCCTATTTGGATTCCTTGTATGTCTTTCTCTTGTCTTACTGCTCTGGCTAGGACTTCCAGTATTATATTGAAAAGCAGTGGTGAGAGTGGACATCCTTGTCTTGGAAATGCTTTCAGCTTTTCACCATTGAGAATGATACTGGCTGTTGGCTTGTCATATAATGGCCTTTATGATGTTGAGGTATGTTCCTTGTATCCCAAGAATTTCAAGGGCTTTTATCATGAATGGGTGGTGCACTCTGTCGAAAGCTTTTTCGGCAACTATTGATATTATCATATGGTTTTTATCTTTCTTTTTGTTGATGTGTTGGATAACGTTGATTGATTTTTGGATGTTGAACCATCCTTGTGTCCCTGGAATGAATCCTACTTGGTCGTGGTGAATTATCTTATGGATACATTGCTGGATTCTGATAGCTAAAATTTTATTGAGGATATTTGCATCAGTATTCATTAGCGAGATTGGCCTGTAGTTTTCTTTTTTTGTGTTGTCCTTGTTCGGTTTTGGTATTAGTGTAATGTTGGCTTCATAGAATGTGTTTGGTATTATCC